GGGGGGGGGGGGGGGGGGGGGGAGGTCGCCGAAATCATTTTTCCGGAAAAAATTTTTTCAATCTCACGCTTAACTTCTCTGCAAAGTTGAGAGGTCTGGGTCTCATGACTCTTATCCATATTCAAGTTGCCACACAAAATGTCAAATGGAAGTTTTGGATGAGTAGGTGGATTAATATTATTAGAGAGTGCGAGCAACCTTCTTGACAACACAGATGTCACATGTAAATAATTTAACTATTAAGTATTAACTAGAAATACATACATGCAGAAATCCCTTGCTTTGCCAGCAAAACCACTATATTTCCCAAACATGAAGTAATTGAAGTGGTGTTGTCATGATAACACCACAGAATAAAGACACACAGCAGGTCGGCTTGCAATGATTCGTCATCAAAATGCTGACACCATGGTCCTGGCCCAGTGCAGGCCTCGAAATAAATCTGGACGTTGTACCGGTCATTATGATCCGGATCACTAAATTTACCGGTCACAGCGGCATGCCGGTCATTGTCACTTATTAGCGTTCTCTTTTCCCCTCATCTTTCGTGTGACTTGTAACTTTAGAAACAATTGTATAGTTTATTAAAGCTGTAGTATTAATCATTACTAATAACTTTAACATTGTTTACTAGCAAATTAATATTATTAAGTTGCAAATGACAACTGTAGTTTGAGTTGCGAGCATACTTTAACGCTGCATTCCAGTTGCACGGTTTTTATATGTGCGTACACGCACATAAAATTTGAAATCACTTTACATCCTACTTATGAAATAACTAAATTATAAAAGGCCAGCATTCAGTTTTGTGTTTGATTTAATGTGTATTTGTTAAGGTTATTTGCACTTATATGAAATTTTAAAAGATTTAAACTTTTCTGTCGCATGTGTGCATGAAAAACATGTAACTGGAAAACAGCCCTCAGGCAAAATGCTTGCAGTATATCGTATCCATATGACAAAATGTTTCACTTCGGCGGTTCGCCGCCCTTATTAGCCTACACCATAGATGGACATACACTTCTTTGAAAATTGGAAATCAAGAATCTGCTCATTTTTGAACCAAGTTTTTTATTAAAAAATTTACCGGTCACACATGTCCGCCAGGCGACGATATTTGCCGGTCAAACTGTGACATTTTACCGCTCAATGACCAGCACTTATTTCGAAGCCTGGCCCAGTGAACTCTATAAATACTGCAATTATGATCGACTTGGGCACAGAATAAAGACACACAGAAGGTCGACTCGAATAACTGCTGCCACACCATGATTCATCATCAAAATGCTGATGCCATGGTCCACTCCTAGCCAGTGCGCATTTGAGAGGCATCCCCATCCCACCTACTGTGCGTCTCTATTCTGTGGTAACACGATCACATATTTTTTTACTGAATAAACAGCCTGAAATTATTATTTTTAATCTGCAAAATTATCAATTTGTTTGGCTGCTTGTCCAATTAAACGATTATTCGGGTCCCTCGTTGATTTTTTTCTCAAATCCCACTCATTGCACTGATCCACTCCTGAAAATCACCATACTTTTGAGATCAGTGGGAGGTCCACCCATGAAACATAGTGATGCTCCCGCGATTATTGATGAACTTCGGACTCCGCTAATGCTTTCCTTTCCCCGAGTGTAAATATAGCTGTGAGGAATTAGTAATTTTTTGAAATCCGATCCGAAATTATCTGATCCAATCCGATCCGAGTTTGTTATAAAAGCGTTCCGATCCGATCTGAAAAAAATCCGAATAAACCTTCAATAAATTACTAACTTTGTCTATAAAAAGACAAAGTCTTTGAAGGTGATTGTTTTTATGGCCTTTTTTACGAAAGCGTTAACATTGTCGTATTCATCAATGTTTATTTCGCTATGTTTTCGATTTATTTCATTCCACAAGGTTGCATGCACCTCTATACGTTATAGAGAGCTTCAAAGTTTTTGTATTGAAGCGGGGTGCAGATAGTTGGTATTTGGCTCGTAGAGATTAATTGCATTCTCGTCTGCTTACCAAGTCTGACATCGAGTTAGGTGTTACATTCTTAATTATTTTACAAATTAGTTTCAATATAGCTGTCTTATAGAAGAAGAAGAATGTGTTCCAACCGACTTTGGAAAGCACATCTTCCGATGGCATGTATCTAGGTAATTTGTATATAATTCTTGCAGCTTTACAATGCAAGCGTTCTAATGACTTGAAGTTTTCCTTGTTACTACATCCGTCCCAGACAACTAGTGCGTAGGTAATGGATGGAAGAATGACTTTAAAGTATAAATCTAATAGTACACTTGTCGGCAAAAACCTTGATGTTTTTAGTACAAGATTTAATTTGTTAACATAATTCAGTTTTAGTTCCGATATATGTTCATTCCAACTAAGATTCTCATCAATGACCATCCCGAGAAGTTTCGTCTTTTTTACCCACTTGATCATTTGATCTCCTAGAAAAACTGGGGCAAGTGGGCCTATTATACGTTGTCTTGAGAGGAGCATCACTTCGCTTTTTTGGGGTTGTGGGGTTAGTTGGTTTGGCTATGCACCACTCATAAAGTTCACTCAGGGCTTTGTTAAGTGTCGATACCACTTCGTCGGCTGAGTCTCCGATACAATATAACGTCGTAGCGTCCGCGTGCCATGCAGATTCTACATTTTCAGGTAGATCGTTTGTAAACAGTGCAAATAGGGTGGGGCCTAATACTGATCCCTGTGGGATTCCGTAGGTAATCTTCGCGATAGAGGATTCTTCACATTTACAACCGTGTACTGCGTCCTGTCTCTCAGATAGCTTATTTACTCGATTGAGCGCCGCCCCCGTTTGAGTGCCGCCCCCAAATGAGCGCCGCATTTGAGATCAAATTTTTTTAAAGAGCGCCGCACTAAACAGTGTAACAACTTTCCGCTGTCAAAATGGGGACATTTAGTGATAGATAGAAAGATATTTAAAACTTGTTTATTTTATTGTTAAAAATTCTTGTTATAATTCACAAATAAAAGATTTTTTAAAGAGCGCCGCCCCCGATTGAACGCCGCTTTCGAATGAGCGCCGCATCTGAAGCTTTGAAAATTTAAAGAGCGCCACGGCACTCAAGGAGGTGAATAGTGCAAGGATATCCAGAGCTGAGCAACCAATCAAATTGCATGAAAAGCACTATGCACCTCCCGAGCATATGCTAACAAAAGTTATCCCTTTAACATATAAATGCAAATGAGGTGTAAAGGCCCATTTCCACCCAGGAACATTTTCCGCAGAAAGAAAATTTTGTAAAATGTGATTGGCCGACACAAATGTTCTGTCGGAAAAAAATTTTGAAGTTGAAAATTTTCAACTTTTAACAATGATATTTTCGGAAAATTTTCTGTGCGTGGAAATTTTTCTTCGTGGAAATGGACCTTTATAGTGCTATATAGATAGTCACGCAAGATCTGATAGTACTAGACCTATACACTGCAGGTTATGACCCATGGTATAGAAAATTAACAGGACATTTTAAAGCAAAGCTACTATGAGGCAAATTTTAAGTACAATTCTACCCGCTAAGTTTCTCTCTTGTTGATTCAATTCCTTCCCTTGATCCCCCTCCAGAGAACAGCATGATCAGATTGTTCGTATTATCATCTCTGATGTCTTCATTTTACCATTCTGTCACAATAGTCCCAAATTATGATTTAGTGTAGAACCTACTTGGCCTAAACCACTAATCCTCCTGTTTATTAGCCCCCTTTCCAATAAGCCCTCCTCGTGCGTGTTTGAAATAAACTAATAGAGGACTTAGGTAACAGTTTGCATATATACAACCAATTAACTTGACTTTAAGTTGTACTGGGTTTATTACGTTATTTTTCTTTGCTCGGTGTATTAGGTGTAGTGGCAGACATTTCGCTGTTTCTCAATTCCATACAATATATAGCTTAAGTTATGGCCTACCAATGCTTTCGTAGTTCAAATTTTATCATTACAGCTTTGTTACCAAGTTACAATTCCGCTGTAATTAAAAAGCTTTCTGAATTTAGGGGGGGGGGGGGGCAGATGCCCCCCTCCCTAGTGTCTGCCATTGCTCAATAGTGTATTAGGGATAGGGTTAACATTACATTAGCTTGCTGTTAAAGTTATATTGTTCTCTAGCCTACGTAGTGGCTATCAGAGAAAGGACAGTCCTTTCTCTGATAGCCGCTACGCAGGCTAATTGTTCTCTTGCTTTATCGGACATTTTTCTTTAAAATTTTCAGATATCTTTTACCATATGTACCCCATAAACATGAAAATAAAATTGAAGAACCCAAGGTTTTGGAACGAACAGTAGAAGAGTCTGGCATTGTTGAAGATCATAATGAAGGCCCTCTTAGAAAGAAAAGAGAACGAGGAATGAATAAAAACCGACCAAGGAATCCAAATCCAAGTGGGAAAAACAAAATTTGTCGAAAATTTCTTGAATATGGCACGTGTCAATTTGGTGACAATTGCAATTTCTCACATGATATACAAACAGTTATAGACAATCGGCCACCTGATCTTGGTGAGACATGCATAAACTTTCAAGTTTTTGGAAGATGTCCGTATGGTTTAGCTTGTAGGTTTGGAAAAGAACATCTTACAAACGATTTCAAGAATATTACAAAGGAAACATTCAGTGAATCATATCTTGACCAAGTGAAGAATACTTTAACAAAAGACTTGCAAGTGGAACTGCGGAAAAGACGATTTCCGTTTCCTAGGTCTGATGAGTACATAAGGAAAATGAAAGATCTGCAACATCAACAGAGATCGTTAGGAGAAATAGGAGAGTATGAAACATCAGGTGTCGTCACTGATGAAGATATCATTAAATCAAGACCTGGTGAAAAGAAAAAGGTAGTTTACGCAATGGTTTAAATAATTGAATGATGCCAACTCTTGGTATTATCCTTCGTTGTTTTCGTTATGGCGATACCGTAGTTGATACTACTATAACATTAGAAAGGTTCAGATTTGACTTACTCAACCGCTACCTTTATAGTCTTGTTTCCATATGGTCGTAACGGTCGTAAAGATTGAATCACAATTTTTCTCATCAGCCGAAATACAACACTTTAGAACTGAAAATACGCGGAGTGATTATAAGTAGAGTATACGTGATGTGGTTTACAGGTATAAACTATTATGAGAAAGATCGTGACTCTATTTTTACGACCATATCAAAACCAGGCTTAAGGGACAATTAACCAAGATTATACCAATGAGATGCTGTAATGGAACTCAAATCTGAATCTTTCTATTGTTACCAACGCCAACAGACATTTTTGTACAAGTTTTTGTACAATAAGAATAATTTTTCTGTATAAGGTGTTTGGATTTTTCTTGGAAATGAAGGCATTTAGACAATGACTGTTCACCAATATTTTGTTTTGCATTATTTAATGGAACAATCAGAAGGATCAAAACTAGTTTACATCTCTCAGACTATTTAAATTTATGTATTAAAATATTAAATTATATTTCCCTTTATTAATTCAGATTGACTTCTCGGATAAACTTTATCTTGCACCTCTGACAACGGTAAGATGTTCTTTTGTCTCTATCAATATGTTAATGACTTAATGTGCAATAAATGTTATTATGCACAACATTCTCATAAGCTGGACCAGTATTATGTTAAAACACTCATAGGAGCTTAGGAGTACTTTAAACAGTACTTTAGGAGTATTGTTTACGAATATAGAAAGTATCATCTTTTATAATGTAATATCTATATAATTATAATGAATGATATCTGACTCTATATATTATGGTTATATCTATGTACATACATAATGAATAGTATATATATACGGAGTAGTAAGGTATAGAGTATGATGAGTGGCTGTATTGTATATAGATATATTACCAAAATTTGTGATTAATAGTCATCAGTTGCTGAAAACGTTCGTATTCATCAGTAATCTTAAAGGAATGATTAATATTTGGTGGGAAAAATGAACTTAAAATTTATGTCAGCAGAAGTTTGTATGAGAAATATGCTTTTTCATGCACGGTCATGATTTCCTTCTACCTTCACAAGAGGGAAGAGCCTGGGAACGAGGTGGTGATTTCCTTTGTGTTTATTAAACTAGGTTGGTAATTTACCCTTCAGAAGATTGTGCAAAGGCATGGGAGCTGACGTCACGTGTGGGGAAATGGCGATGTGCACTAACTTATTGCAGGTATCACACTGTTCCTGAATTTCTGAATAGGATGTGTATATAAAGATTTAGAAAGTCATTATACGAACCTTATATACTGTAACAGGTGTTGTCATTGGTTAGAATCGTTATAATGAAACGCAACTTATTTGAAGTTTTACGAACAAAGCCAATGAAAACATTTTCTTTCTATATATAGGTTTGTATTTACTATTTAGGGACCGGTCATAAAGTAACTGCTAGGGTGGGCTGGAGTGATTTGGGATGGGCCATGGAAAATCTTTGGGCAGTTTCGATGGGCCGCCAATTTTTTTGTATGTCCACGGTTGGGCCACCAAACAAAAACCCATGTCTACTTCAAAAAATAAAGATATTAATAATAAAAGTAAACAAAACTATCCAAATTATCAAATGCAAACGATGCTATTGAAGCCAGTACTTTGTTTGTGATCGAATCACAGCAAATACAACCAACTGGAGAGCAGCTCAGTATCGTAATTGGTGATGAATATGTGTTTGTCAGTGAGGCTTGGTGGAATTATGTATGTCAATACAGTGCCGGTGTATATTTACAATGTTCATACCTGCAAGTTTTTTTTGTTATAAAAGTGTATTTTCCCAATTTAAATTGGGTCGGGGTAGGTCATGAAATAAATTTGGTAAGATTAGATGGGCTTTGAAATTTTTATCTACATCCTATAGATGGGTCACCAAACTTATTGGCAAAATTTGTGATATACCTCCAGCCCACCCTAGCAGTTACTTTATGACCAGTCTCTTATCACGAAAAAACCAACTTCTGCATAAACCTAGTCTCACAAACCACCCATGCAGCTTATACTGCATTAATAGGATCTTCTGGAGCATTCTTGTCTGCATGTATACTTACGAGTTTAATACGAGCAAAGTCACAGTTTCAATATTTAATCAGTTACGATTAAAATATTCCAGAAATAACCAAGGCAATACGTAACAGTAGTTCCTCAACGACACGAGAATATGATGCGTTGAGACTCGTTTTATTGTTCTGAACACGTACTCTATCGGATGGTTATGAGATCCTGAAGTGTATGTCATACTCGAGAATACTTAGAAATAAATTCAATACAAAAAATATTTATTTACCATCAGGGTATGCAGTCTGAATGGGCATTGATGAAACGTCACCCAAGTGAAGATATATTTGGCGTTCAGGTATTATTATAGTTAAGTTAGTTAATTGCCCATATATACCCTCTAATGTACTCATCTGTATTCTACTTACAACACGAGTGGTCGTTATCGGGGAATATTCACCGAGACGAAGTCGAGGTGGATATTCCCCGATAATCACTGAGCCTGAGGCGAATAATTGTTTTAGTATTTTTATACAAGTCTTTTGTGTTTTTTGGGACTGAATTTATTTTAATTTCACTTATTTCTTTATCAGTAACTTCCGGCCACACAACGGCTAGCAGCCATTTTGCAAATTTCGGTTTTGTTATACTGTATTCACCTGTATAAGTGAATATAACAGCTTAATACCTAAAATTTAACCAATCAACATGTAGGATTTGTTATATTCACTTGTGCAAAAATACTAAAAGTCATTAATCGAATATAAGTCAATATCGGATATAAGTCATTAATCGATCCAACTTTTTCCCAGCGAACTTTTTTTGCCAACCAATCACATTGCCGAGATTTGTTTTCTCTTTGCTTCGCGCCAATAATGCGTTTATTCACCGGTCATTCAATTTAACAAAATCTAAATCATCAAAAAAACAAGTGAAAAGAACAGACTGAACAGTAAGCATCAAGAAAACGCACAAACAACAAAACAAATAACACTCACTTACCTCGTGCATTAACTGATACTTTCTATACAAAACGCACGTCTCAAGGTGCAGAAAAGCGGCGTGTTCGGACTGGACAAAGTTTTGGTAAAATTCAAACATTTTCAAGAAAATATCGATATAGTTTAAAACTGTCGCGAAAACGAGCAATGAAAATGCGCTCAACGGACCAATTAACTATGAAATAATTAATGACGAAATAATTAGATGTCGCTCTGATGCACGTGCTCGCGATTACGTCAGAATTTTCCTACAGCTGACTTCGTAAACTGTACAACTTTCTGGAGCGTGATCAAACACAATTCCGTCTCTCTTAATTTTCGGTCGAAAATGCCCTACGAGAACTAAATTTGAAAGCGGTATATCTCCCCTCAAGGACTATATTATTGAAGTCGTCAAAACGTCCCTTGCTATCTATTGTATGGAGTGACAAAAAGTTTTTAAATTCGAAAAAAGGGATTAATTATATTTAATAGGTTATAAAATTTACCCATGGAAGTGTTTCTTTAAAGCCAAGCGAAGACTCCACGATTTTAATCTGTCGATATCTGATTTATTACGTGCATGGTATTTTGGCGAAGTCACTGCAGAGGAGGGAGGATAATGAGCCCACAGATCATACCACTGACTGTTTTTCGTTTTAACATTTGTCTAAACCAAAGTGGCAGACTAAAATTTATCGTGTGCGCCCGGCTTTTAAAACACATCAAGCTTCGGTTTTGCTTCCTACCATACGTGTATGAACTATATTTACTGTATGTGATTGGAGTTGTGCACAGTTTTTTGCCCGAGCTATTCATCTGCTGCTAAAAGTGTGCCATTCTTTCATAATGTCCATTTACATGATACTAGTCTTAGTGTCTTACACGATTCTTATCCTGGCGTATGTACTTGAATAAATGCGTGTAAAGATGTCACATTTCAAATTTCGCCATAAACTGATGAACAGGAATAGTACCGTCAGCAGTCGTTTTCATACGCCAGAATGACAATCGTATATACGACTAGTCGTATCGTCACAGGATAGAGAGAAACAGAAGATCGACTTCTTGGTTTTTCCTATGATTTTGGCGTAACCATAATTCGTCATCAAAATGCTGACTTCATGGTCCTGGCCAGTGGTCTTATGAGAGGCATTCACTCCCCTGATAATATTCAAAATTGTGGCTGTCCAGGGGGGTAATAAGCGCACTGGCTAGGACCATGGCGCCAGCATTTTGATGACGAATCATTGCAAACCATGGTGTGGCAGCGGTTACGCTTTTTTGCCTGAGTCGTCCTTCTGTGTGTCATTATTCTGTGGTATCGTATGAAAAGAAACCCAGTAGAAACGTTCCTATGTGAAAATTTTCCTTGCGATTTGTACTGTACTGTACTGTACTGTACTGTACTGTACTGTAGAAACGTTCCTATGTGAAAATTTTCCTTGCGATTTGTACTGTACTGTACTGTACTGTATTGAAACTTTGTTTAAACACGGTAGAATCATCATACAGTACAAAATCACATTATATAAAAAATTGATAAAACTATATACAAAAGGACAAGGAATACTGATTTACATGATAGTGTGGGAGTTCACAGACGTTAACCAACTTTCTAAACCTCTTAAAGACACTGAGGGATTGTGCCGATCGAAGTTCAGTTGGTAAACTATTCCACAAAACTACTCCATCATAGCTGAAGGAGCGAGCGCTTTAGATAATCTGTACGCGGCTTGTGGACAAGTACTTAGTATAGCTCTTAGTTCTAACAGATTCTGATATTGTGTTTAGCTTTGTGGAAGTTTTCCAGACACAATGAGCAAGTGTGCTGAGTTACTACAAAGCAAAACTGAAATTGATTTTATTGATGTCAACGTTGGCTGTCCAATTGACCTTGTCTTTAATAAGGTACAGAATAATACAATTTTTCCACCTGCTAGGGTTTGTCAAAAAACTCTTTCCTATCTCTATGATTGCACGCTGGTGACTGGTTTATCTTTTAACACGCGAATGGCGAACTTATAGACGAGCTCGACTGGTATAGATGCGGTTAGCGTTATCACTGCACTAAACCATTACCACTGCACTAAACCTGTTAATGTAGGTCAGTATAAACTAGAGCTGTGCGATTAACCGAAAAATTCGGTTCTTCCGGTACTTTTTTAGCACCGAAAAATTATACGCAAAAGAACTGGTAGTTTCGGTTTTAATTTCCCGTTTAACGCCCGCCAAACGCCCACCTGATTGCAGGTTGAAATGTTTGGAAAATAACAAGATTGTGCTCTTTGTGCACAATATGCACTGTACAAACTGCTCAAATAGTTGATATTTTAGTTGTGATTGTTATTGTTGTGCACTTGCTTTTTAAAAAGAAATATTTCATGTTCATAAATAATTTGCAATTGTTCTTTTAAAATATTCCGAGATTTATAGAAACTTACAAAGACATAAATTCATCTATTTAGTAAAAATGCTCGAAACATACATAAATGAGTTCATACATTTGTACTGTTCTTCTTTTTTGAAAATAACCGAAACCGAACCGAACCGAGGTTTTTCTGTTCCAAAAAAACCGGAACCGGAACCGAGATAAAATTTTTGGAACCGCACAGCTCTATTAAAAAACTCATTAATAATTCATGAAGAAAACACAACGAAAAATCATAAGCGTATCTGTATATGTGATACAGATTCGTGTTGATTTACATAAACTTTAACTTTGATTTTCTCGGCTTAGACAACGTTTATTTTTAAAATTACTTCGCCAATGAACTCATAAGATGAGTCGTTTTTTAAGCCATTTACAACATTCGCGTCCGTGTTGTATCGGATATACAAACTCTCGCCTTCGGCTCGAGTTTGTATATCCGATACAACACGGCCGCTCATGTTGTAAATAGTACATATAAACCGCTCTGTATATACTTGAAAATTCATGTAAGTATAAAGTTTGGTTGGTTCTCTCCTGTGCTACTTCGACTCTGTACGTTCTCCTCTCTGTCTCATCAAAAACTATCTTATAGGCTTTATTTGTCGAGCATGTGTGTTATGAGCCCCTGGCTTCGGTAATTAACATTAAATAACTCGTCATAACAAATTTAGTTATGTTTATACGATTAACAAATTTTCCTTGCGAAAGTTTTTGTGGTAAAAAATTACAAGACAAAGGTATAGATATATATTTGAAGTAGATATTTGAATTCTTATCTAGCCTAGAGTACGGTTAGTTTACGGTATTACTTCTGGAAATATTTTTATTTTTGTATTGTTTGTCTTTCGTTATAGGGAGCTGGCTCAGCATTGATGGAGAGATCGAGGCGTTTTGAAGAAATTGTTCGAGGAATGAAATACGTAAGTTATGAAAGTAATTTTCGAAATTGAAAATATACTGTGTACAAAATATAGTGGATTGTGCTCGATTTTCTGACTATAAGGGACTGTTCATTATATATATCCCAAAGAGAATCTGAAAATAATTTTTACCCAACCGTCAAGTATCCATGTAGTACTAGGTATGTGTTACACTGTTACCAGCGAGTAATATTATCAGGGTCATAGCAGGAAATAATATTTTTGTTCCTGGAATCCTAAGTTTTTGGGTCAAAGTTTTCTTCCGAGCTCACTAATATTCTTGGTATAGTAAATTATTTTCTGTACCTGTTAGCATTATGCAATGTCCTAACATTTTCTGCCAGCTAAGCCAGGTCTGAAAATTTTCTGGGATCCTATAGATGCCTGGATCCACCATGATTTCCTGGTATGATCAGGGCCCACCTGTTTTATGCAAAAATATCCTGAATAATGGACCAATCCCCAATTAACCAAAATTTTGATCTCAACAAGTCTAGACAAAATTCCATCATAGCATGAAAGAGCATCACAAAATTAGTAATATTACAATGTTTCGTTGCGAAATGTTGTAAAATGCGGATAATATAGCCTTGCGAAATTTGCAATTTTCAGTCATTTTGTATTACGAGCGGGAAAAAGTTACTGCTTTTCCAAAATTTTGATCTTAACTATCCTAAACAAAAATTTCATCACAGCTTGAAAGAGCATCTCAAAATTAGTAATATTGCAAAGTTTCGTTGCGAAATGTTGTAAAATGCGGATAATATAGCCTTGAGAAGTTTGTAATTTTCAGTCATTTTGTATTATACGCACGGAAGTGGTAACCATTTCCCGTTTGTAATGCAAAATGACTGAAAATTGCAAATTTCGCAAGGCTATATTATCCGCATTTCACAACGGAAATTTGGAATATTACTAATTTTGTGATACTCTTTCAAGCTGTGATGAAATTTTTGTCTAGACTTGTTGAGTTCAAAATTTTGATTAATGTGGGATTGGTCCATTCATGAGTTTTGATACTCGATTCGTTCCTACTAAATTGCGTAAAAACAGTCACCATCAACTGGCGAAATTTTACATGCAATTCAACAAAAGCAAACGATGCGAAAAAATTATATTGAATTTTCATTGGAAAAAAATAATTTTCTCATTTTCTCGATAGCTTGCCCAGGTCTGGGATATTATGCCATTAGTACAAGTTCGAACCGTCTCTTTGTCAAAATAATTTATTTTAATTTTTTCTACATGGAGGAATATTTTTCCAAAGCGTTTGTCGCTAAAGATTATTATTATTATTATTATAATTCATTTATATAGCGCCATTTCCCATAGCTTAATAGCGCTTAACATTAAGTGTTAAAAATATATACTAAGTGTTAGAACATAGTACATGCATTGACTACTAAAATTACTATACTATAAAATTACTAAAAAATAATTATATGCTCTTCTCGTTAAGAGTACTTATATAGAATACTATAAAATTGCTAATAATCTTGTTAAAATAATAACTTAGTCATAATACTGTTTTTAAAAATAGGCAAGGTCTCACTCTTTCTAATACACTCTGGCAGTTCGTTCCACAGTTTCGGTGCAGCATATGAGAACGATCGTTCACCATAGTTCACTAGTTTTACTGAGGGTATGGTAAACAATCCTTTGGATGAGGAGCGTAAATTTGCTGATGGTGTGTAAGGTTTTAGCATATTATTAATGTAATGTGGAGCTGAGCCATTCAGAGATTTATACGTAATAAGAACAATTTTATAGATGATGCGTTGACTGATGGGGAGCCAATGTAATTGTTTCATTAATGGAGTAATATGTATGGCGTCATATCACCGCCAATATTCATGTATATCATGCTTTCGACATTGAAGTTAAATAGGACATTCAGCACCTACGTGCTTTCGACATTGAAGATAAATCTGACATTGAACATGCAGAACATTCAACATATTTTCGATATTGAAGTTAAATAGGACATTCAACACCTACGTGCTTTCGACATTGAAGATAAATCTGGCATTGAACATGCAAAACATTCAACATATTTTCGACATTGAAGTTAAATATGACATTGAACACCTATGTGTTTTTGACATTGAAGTTAAACCGGACATTGAACATGCCGCGAATTTAGCACCCATCACAACTTCAACGTTCAAAATATGTTGAAAAAATTACCACATGTTGAATATTGGCGGAGTTGAACGATAGCGTCAAATCTCCGCCAATATTAATTAAGCTAACACAAGATAACCCCCCGGCCAAATTCATTCGTATCCAGACCTCTAGAACATATCACATGACGCAAGCCGAGGATCGAATTCGCCGCATCTTGTCGCTGTATTGAAGGCCGTATATTCACCATAATATTCGCGTATATTCGCTTGATTGTCTTAAATTAATTGACTTTTATAGCGCAGATTGAATTGCTAGAGACGCAAAAAAATGCAAAATTTGGTAGAATGAACCCAGAGGCAATAATTTCCGCAAGAGATGCAGGCAGATGCTCTGTTTGAAGTTGCTGAGCGATTGAGACAACAGTCAACAGCTGTTATTAAATGTATAAAAATTGATATTATTTTATTTATTAGATTATATTTTAAAATTCCTAATAATCGCATTATAGATAATCGATACATTTTAATATTTAGAGTGTACTGGCAAAAACAATGCGTGCGTCAACGTGAACTTTTGCTGCGACAGAAAGGCAGATGGTTTTCTTTATATATTAAATCGTTGTGGTGTAATGTGATAGTATAGTACTTGTCAATTTAGCATAATTTTGAGCACTTTTCTTTCCGGATCCGTGAGCCTTTTATAACATTATTTGTCATTTACTTATACAACTGTTTACAAAAAATCCTACTGTTTACAAACTTTTGTGTTACATACTTAATTAATAGGTGTCTTCTTATTAATTCAATAACTGTTACACAATAGAGATTTTTGCTGTCAATTGCACTAGCTAGAATTAACATTTTAATAATAGTACATCCTTTTAATTTTTAAACTAGGAGAATAGTTTCGTGAAAAAATTTATTTATCTTATACCATAAACTTCCGATTATAAGTCCCCGAATATAAGCCCGACGTCTATGACCCCGTCACATTACTAACGTTCACACCATTCGATATACTAGCCCGTAATCATAATCAAAAGTTTATGGTATAAGATAAATAAATTTTCTCACGAAACTATTATGTGCTATTATTAAAACGCTAATTCTAGTGCAATTGACAGCAAAAATCTTTATTGTGTAACAGTTATTGAATTAGTAAGAAGACACCTATTAATTAAGTGTGTAACACAAAAGTTTTGTAAACAAGTAGGATTTTTTTAATTGTTGTATAAGTAAATGACAAATAAAATTATTAAAGGCTCACGGATCCGGAACTTAGAAAAGTGCGCAAAATTATGCTAAATTGACAAGTACTGTACTATCAAATTACACCACATGGCCTCACGATTTAATATATAAAGAAAACCATCTGCCTTTCTGGCGCAGCAAAAGTTCAGTTTGACGCACGCATTGTTTTTGCAATTACACTCTAAGTAAAATGTATCGATTATTTATAATGCGATTATTAGGAATTTTTAAAATATAATTTTTGCGTCTCTAGCAATTCAATCTGCGCTATAAAAGTCAATTAATTTAAGACAAACAAGCGAATATACGCGAATATTATGGTGAATATACGGCCTCCAATACAGCAACAAGATGCGGCGAATTCGATCCTCGGCTTGCGTCATGTGATATGTTCTAGAGGTCTGGACACGAATGAATTTGGCCGGGGGGTTATCTTGTGTTAGCTTAATTAATATTGGCGGAGATTTGACGCTATCGTTCAACTCCGCCAATATTCAACATGTGGTAATTTTTTTTCAACATATTTTGAACGTTGAAGTTGTGATGGGTGCTAAATGCGCGGCATGTTCAATGTCCGGTTTAACTTCAATGTCAAAAACACATAGGTGTTCAATGTCATATTTAACTTCAATGTCGAAAATATGTTGAAGGTTTTGCATGTTCAATGCCAGATTTATCTTCAATGTCGAAAGCACGTAGGTGCTGAATGTCCTATTTAACTTCAATGTCGAAAATATGTTGAATGTTCTGCATGTTCAATGTCAGATTTATCTTCAATGTCGAAAGCACGTAGGTGCTGAATGTCCTATTTAACTTTAATGTCGAAAGCATGATATACATGAATATTGGCGGTGATATGACGCCATACTTAAAATCATCTAGCGTTAGACCGAGTAAAATAATAAAGTTGGCAGCATTGCAGCTTAATGGGTTAAATATGCATTGCAGAGCAAGACGACAGTGACACAAAAATTAGGGTTTGTAACCATAATTGCAAATCTCATACTTAATTCCAGGCATTCGTGGTTGAAAATCCTCATAACTTAGTTACATACTTAAAGAAATCATGGTGGGGGCGGGGGAGGACAATTATACCCATTTGGGCTCCTGCTTCCAGTGTCTGCCACTGCATGAACGCATGAAGAGAAATGCATGAAGTCAATAATTGACAAAACTCTCCCACTGACAAGTGAAAATAGCTAAGGCATATTGTAAGAGAAAATATAATACTATTGGAGGGAGAACTGCTGATCAATGGGTCAATTTTATTTCTTTACAGGTGCAACTACATACTTGACCAATGGCGAACGTGGATCAAAAGGCTAGCTTGCATATGAATGTATTGACTGGGATGGTTTGTGCTCTGATGAGGTGCGGGACTCTTCAGATGGACCAATACAACTCAAGTGGAGAGAGAAATCAGATATCCAAGTGGCAGGTATGATAGCATTTTACATCTTGACCAAAGGAAATCATCCATTTGGTGCTCAATTACATCGACTGATAAATTTGCATGATGGCAACCCAGTGGGTTTAAGCAAGCTTACTGATCCTGTGGTGAAAGACCTGCTTTCTCAGATGTTAGCTCGGGATCTGCGTGAACGACCATATGTGGAGCAAGCCTTAAAGCACCCTTACTTTCTCTCGTCTGAAGACCAGATGAAGTTCTTAGAAGCTTTGGGCAACGAACCTGAAATAAAGAGTTTCAAAGGAGATCCCAACTGTGCTGTTTCCGGAGAGTTAGACAACCGTGATCTGTCAAAACCTCGAAGCTCATTGTTACCAAATGACTGGAAAGCAGTCATCGATCCAGATGACCTCAAAACATTTTGTGCAGGAGGTCCTACTCGCCCGTCCCGTTTTGATGGTAGTCGTTACACGCAATGTCTTCGATTCATAAGAAATGTTCGTCAGCATTGGGGCGGCATTGGGGCGACAAACCACGTCCACCATTGAAAGCTATGGGAACAGCTACTTCTCTTGACGAATATTTCCTGCAATTATTTCCAACCCTCCCGCTTGTTGTGCATCAAATCATCAGAAAGCATCCTGGCTGGAAAACACGCCCTTCCTTGAAGGAGTTTTTCCCCGTGATAAACCGTCGCGCACTGTCGGTTGATGCAGACTGCAGCCCACACGATATATCAGGTTAGTATATATTTAATTAATTCTGGTTTTAAGTATATATTATATATTTATTATCATTCTGTTTTGCTCTGAGTTCAGTATTGCATCTCGCTGGATTAATACGCATTTGATTGGTTAGTCGGGTGGATTAAATGTTTCTGATTGGTCATTGGTATAACGGTGGTCAAAATCTGAACCTCTCTAATATAGTAGGCACAGATGAATCCAGTATGTGTTTTACTAATATCAAACAGATAATTTAAAACAAATAAGAACCTTTGGAAGCTACAATGAATGTAATTAATAATGTGACAAGGATCCAACATGTAGGGCAACAACTGTCCATAAATTGGGCAAATTTGCGTAAATAACAAATTGCTGGTCAGTTATGTGTGATAGTACAAAACTAAGCATTGGCATTGTTGTATAATTGAATTTTAAGGCATTGCATGTACAGAAAACATACACACCATGGCTTGCGTCGCTGCTGCGTTACTTTCCTGCCAATTCATGGGGGCGCGTGGATTAATTTGAGTGCCCTTGGGGTACGTATTGCGAGGTAGACATTCACCCGGCATTCCCACTGAGAAAATGGGAAGCTAACTTATTCGATTTTTTTATTCAGGTAGACGTCCTGGTGAATATTTTGCAGTTCTTTAAGAAGTACTCGATCATTTTTGCTGAAAGCTGGGACGTCTTTTTCTTTGTCTTTTTCTCGTAATTTTTCAATGGCCAACAATAGAATAATATAATGTAGTTTAGTAAAAATTACACAACTAGAATTACAACGTAAGAATTAGTATAACTCCACAAACAAAAGTTTCTGGAATACTAGAAGCATTAAATTCATAACAAAACGAAAAGTATTAGGTTAATCCATTCAAATTAACTTTGTATTCGCAGCATGAAATGTTCGCGTTTGAATCATGCGTTTGTTCGTCTGAGCATATCTAGCATGAACACGAGTTATTTATACATATATTAATGAATGTATTTTAAAATGTAATCGTATTTTTAGTCAAAACCAACTGTATTACAGTAATAACAGGGTGTGATAATTCAAGATTTGTAGTCGTACCTGACTGGTACTCCAATGATCATTGTCGCGCACTTGAGTAAACAAAGACTTCAAGGTGTACTTAGTCTTTAAAAAGAAGTACATAAAGTGCAGGTTTTTCGAAAGATATTCAGTAACCTAAAACTACGAGTAAGAACGAGAAGGACGTCTATTACATATACACAAATACTAAAATCGACTCCAACGTTCCTTATAGTCCCATCAGTCCAACAATATTTCATTCCAAGACATCAAATCTGAACGTCTCTAATATCGTGTCTCCAGTACGTAAGTACGCGATTTATCACACTCTGAGTAATAATTGTTTTTCAACAGCATATAGTTTTAACCACTGCATGATATAATCATGTGATAATAAAATGTATACAATCAATTACAAGTATAAACACCAGCTTGTTTTATTTTCACCCCTTGTGGACACCAAATTTTCTAAAGCGCATGCTCTTGAATTGGGACGCTTTAGCACCTGTAACAATTTTCACAGTGAAGTATTACGAGGAAACGAAGTATTTGCGTTGACATATCTTGAAAGAATAATTTTGCCTAGCGAAAACTGCTCAACTTCTGCGAAATAGTAGTTCTCTGAAGCCAATCAGATCTCTCCCTTTAGTTGTCTAACCGGCCCAGAGCCTGGTTTTCAACGAGTGGCCGAGTGAAAATGGCTCTGGGGACGAGAGTGAAATTCAATCGGAAGAAAATAAATAACATTGAATGAGGTCTGAAGTGACCCCAAGGCAACCCTCGAGTTGAGGGCGTTTACAGCAGGGTCAGGCCCAACTTCGTTCCCAAGGAGAACGAGGTTGGATGCAGAGGCTGTCTGGTGTCAAGCGAGTTTTAGGGCATAACGGGTGGACACATTGTGCCTGAGTGCAGGCCACAGATTCAACGAATCAGGCAATGTTATATGGTTTGACTAGTTTCTTTCGTGTTGATATCCAGTGTCCAGGGGTCGGTAGTTCAAAAGCTGGTTAGTTTAATCCTATAGGTTAACTAAATTCCCCAACAGCTTGTTTAGAAATATGAAGATGGTTTTCCACAATTCATGTCTGGATCAATAGAAGTTTTATTTTCCAAAGTTTTGAAATAAACAGTGTGTCCAAACCAAAAACAGCGGGTTAAATTTTAACCCAGGATTAGCGCCAATCCAACTTTGAAGGACCACCTTCAGTGTTGTACCGGCCCACCGCTAACAAGGGGATCAAAACTTGAAATAATTTATCGTTACGCTTTGCTTTGAGATAGACTAAGTCAGGGGTGGAAAAAAAATTTTTCTTTCTGGGAACCTGGGTCGAAGGCTAGAAATTTCCTTTAAAATTTGCAATTTTACAATTGCAAAAATAACAAAACAAATGCATAATTATTGTATTATTTGTACTTTGGTAATACTTTAGGTTGGTGTTTTCGTATGCTCGTACATCGCAATAGTTGTCTGTTATATACTACAGTTATGAGTTATGACCAACTAGTAAGGATCTAACGCTTAACTAAGTGTCCTATCATCTTATTTATTCCATCACTTTTATTTGTTTACTATTTAATTTGCATTTTATTGGACACTTTGCAGAGCATATATTTACCATTTTACCTCATTGTGATGGCAGGGGTGGGTAAAAGAATTAATTTCTGTCAAATATTTAAAAGCTGCTGATGTTAGCGTGTACAGTGTACAGTGTAAAGTAGAATAGTTGTAACTTGTAAGTTGAGTAAACAGAGTTATCTCAAAATGTTGAAATATTTGATTTTTCTGGAAAATTTTCTGCAAAACGCTCAACTCAAAAAAATTTCTGGGAACTAGGTTCCCAGGTTCCGATACATTTTCCACCCCTGGACTAAGTTTCCACTATACGGGATAGCTTTCCGTAGCGGCATGAAAAAGCACCTATCCGATACGGAATGTACAACTTTCAGAAGCTGAGTGAAACAATCAGCCTAGGGGTGGGGACTTAGACGTTTTCCATCATGGTGATTGGCGGACAGTATAACATGGCAGATTTCGCTGGAAAAGATACTTTGATTCGTTCGCAAATGGCTTGATACTCATTCTTTAGTTTGGTATGGTTTCAGTACCATTGTCTTTGATCATTTGTGAGTAAAATCCTTTGTCTACATGAAATAGTTTTTCTTTAATGCAATGGACAATGATCACTATAAAAAATGATCTATGAGTGCATCGCCGGCTGGACGAAACTTGGCTTAACGTCCAGACAACACCGGACGCAATTCGACAACGCGACGCGATTTTTTAGTTTTTGTCTTTTTGAAAGTTAATAGAACAGCCAATGAGAGCGAATTTTGAAAGATATGTAGACCAAATAACTCAAACTCAGTTATCGGTTAGTGTAATATTATCATAGGTCTAGCTAGATGCGCTGAAGTTAGGGTTGAGATTTTATACAGTGTTGCATTAATATAAAAGCATTTTTATCCTTGTTGTAGAACTTCTATTTTGTACTTCGCATTTGTATTGTCCATAGGCATATAGAATTATAACGTGCAAATCAACGTGTACTAAACAGTCAATATTATTGCCCGGGGGTGGGATATAGACCCAATTTGTTTGCCCAGGGGGTGGGGCTTTAGCACGGTTCTTCTTTCCCTGGGGTGGGGACATAGCCATTTTCTTTTCAGAAATGGCTAATTCCCCCGAGGGGGGGGGGGGCATGGCACCGCTGGAATTGACTGATACATAATATTTATAAATTTACATGTAAAAAAAATTATCCGATCTTTAATTATGTAAAACGCTATGCTATTCACCTGTTATCTCTGCAAAGCGTGTTCACATGTCGCCTTTTTCTTTGTCATTATTGCACAGAACATCATTAAAGGTGATCTACAGTCCGATCTGCGCATGTGCACAAATGAGCCCACTTTTTATGATACAAACAGTTTAACTATGTTTTGAGTTCTTGAAAAGCCTGATTGTTGTTTCTTGATCATTTATTATACTCTAGAAGCTTGAAAATATAAATAGTTGTCGAATAAAGCTCAATATTTTGGACACAAAAATGTAAACAAAGGCTTTGTTTACATACGGACTGTAGATCACCTTTAAATTTCATCTATATATTAAAGTGTAGTTAAATCACTTAAATGAAAGCGAAAGAGCCTGGGTAAGAGGTTGTATACTAATCAGGATATTAATCCGGATACTAATAAGGGGAAAGGTCTTTCCCCTGTTTCGGTGAGAAATAATATAGAATTTTTTGACATGGCAGAAAGGTGGAATATTACCGGTATGGGAGAGCATATAATCATACCAGTATCTATGATTGATAGTAGTGATGGTGATGATAGTGATGGTACATCTGTTGGTACTGTATTTATATCAAGAAGGTCGTCAGGAGGAGGTAGACGTAGGTCATGGACAGGTTGGAATGCTGGGGGTCGTGATGGCAAAATCAAACCGCAGACTCGACATGTGAAGAAAAGGAAAACAATCACAGCCTTAAAACCCAAAGATTGGAAAAAAGTCTCTGTGAAGTATAGAGAGAAGTTTGACCGGCTTTCAGAAGTCTGGGAAAATTCTGACGGTAACCCTGAATTGATAACAATAAACGATAACGGCGTATGTTTGCTTGGGGTCTGACGGGATAGAACGAGCGATAAAACGTTTGCCAAAAGTCCTGTGTAATTTGTTGAAGAATGAACGAGATATCCTGACGTCTCCGAATGCAGTCGAGTCGCCGCGAGTTGTAAATTATTGTTTCTACGATGATACTTCCAGCCCTGACTTTGGTTATTTGATTTTGAATTTATATGAACAAAATCTTAAAGAATTCATCAAGGAGGAAGGTGAGATGATAACAGAATCCCGTGCTAGAAAGATGATACGTCAAGTGTTGGAAGGGCTGAAAGCATTACATGCTAGAGAGCCTAGAATTTTACACAGAGATTTGAAGCCGACCAATATACTTGTTGATGTGAATGGTGATTTAGTGCTGTCTGATTTTGGTATTGGACGGTTTTTCCCGGAACAAGGTATTTTTACAGGATGTATAGTAACTATTGCTGAAAAAAATGGCTGAAAATCAGACGGAAGTATTCTAGTTGTATTTATAAATAAAACTTTTTCAATACTGAAGTTATACTAAAACAATTAGTTGCCTTAGGCTTGGTGATTACAAGCCTATATTCACTTCGGCTCAGTGAATATAGGCTTGCAATCACCTCGCCTTCTGTGTCTAATTGTTAAATCCTAGACTGTGTGTCAGGGACGTCGCTAAGGCATTAACATTGGAGGGGGGGGTGTCATCATGTTTTGACCAACATTTGGTAGAATTTTGACCAAGTCGTAAAAGTTCCCCCCCCCCGGAAATGTTGTCGACGGGCGAGGGCAAGGGGGGGGAGAAGGTGTAAAAAATTTTCCGGACTTATATAAGCATATAATATTATTTAAAAATTTTTCAATCAAAATAAGCAAGGCTTGCCAATTTTTTACCACAATTTCCCGACTTTGACCTTAAATTTTAAGCAAATATCTGTTCCATTTTGACTAACTTTGAGCAAATAGCAGTTCCATTTTTACCAACTTTGACCTACGTTTGGATTATTGGGGAGGGTGTTAACCCCCGTAGCTTAACGCCCCTGTGTAGTGCAAATTAAACTAAACTTTGGCCATCTCACTCGATAGTATCTATTTATTTAAAAGAGATCATCTTCACTGTCATATATGAGACACTGTGTCTGACATTTCAGTTTATTGTAACTTTTCCGGAAAACTTTTTACAGGTAAACTATACGTCCAAGCACGGTGGTCCAAGCATTCCTCTTTTGAGTCATGGCCGGATTTTGAGGGGAGGTGTGCACCTCCTGAGATTGTTTTGCACCTCCCCTAAGAATTTTTGCACCTCCCCCGAAAAGTGATGCACCTTGGGAAAGTTTAAATAATAGATCAAAGTGAAAATTTGAAATTTTTGGTTGCTCAGGGTCTACACATACTACATACAGTAATAAAGTTTTTCTGTAAAATTGAAACAGTGATAGCCATTCATCTCTGTGTGTAAAGTACCCTTTTAATGCAATGTTTTGAAAGAAACTTTGTAGTAATTGTAATGAAGGGATTGAAGGGCAAAATTGGATGAGTTGTACCATCATAATTCATTAATACACTAATACATACGTACACTACATGCATACGTCACGTTGACTTTAATTTGGCCCATTCTAAGCCCTAACTTTCCATGGGGGTTGTGAGCTAGACCGCTGCACCTCCCCTAAATTGTTTCCACCTCCACCATTATTTCCACTAAAATACGGCCTTGTTTTGAGTAACACAGGTGAATTAATAAAATTCTTACTTTTCTACAGGTGCAACTACATACTGTACTAATGGCGAACGTGGATCAAAAGGCTGGATTGCATATGAATGTATTGACTGGGATAGTTTGTACTCTGATGAGATGAGGGACCCTTCAGATAGACCAATACAACTCAAGTGGAAAGAGAAATCAGATATCCAAGTGGCAGGTATGATAGCATTTTACATCTTGACCAAAGGAAAGCATCCATTTGGTGCTCAAATACACCAACTGATAAATTTGCATGATGGCAACCCAGTGGGTTTAAGAGAGCTCAGTGATCCTGTGGTGAAAGACCTGCTTTCTCAGATGTTGGCTCGGGAGTTAGATGAACGACCATATGTGGAGCAAGCCTTAAAGCATCCTTACTTTCTCTCATCCGAAGACCAGATGAAGTTCTTAGAAGCTGTGGGCAACGAGCCTGAAATAAAGAGTTTCACAGGAGATCCCAACTGTGCTGTTTCGGGAGAGCTAGACAACCGTGATTTGTCAAAACCTCGAAGCTCATTGTTACCAAATGACTGGAAAGCAGTCATCGATCCAGATGACCTCAACACATTTTGTGCAGGAGGTCATACGCCCGTGTCCAGTTTTGATGGTAGCCGTTACACGCATTGTCTTCGATTCATAAGAAATGTTCGTCAGCATTGGGGCGACAAACGGCCACCTCCACCATTGAAAGCCATGGGAACAGCTACTTCTCTTGACGAATATTTCCTGCAATTATTTCCAACCCTCCCGCTTGTTCTGCATCAAGTCATCAGAAAGCATTATGACTGGAAAACATGCCCTTCCTTGAAGGAGTTTTTCCCCGTGATAAACCGTCGCGCAGGGTTTGATGCAGACTGAAGCTCACACGATATGTCAGGTTAGTATATTTAATTCTAGTTTTAAGTGTTGTATATTTATTACCATTCTGTTTTCCTCTGAGTCTGAGTTCAGTATTGCAACATTTTTCATTGAGAACATAATCGTTGGCGAGGCTGTAGGCCGAGATCTAGTGTGTAGTAATTAGTATAGACAAGTCAAGATTTGACTTCCACTACCTCCCACACCTGGTCAATGATAACGGTGGTCAAAATCTAAACCCTTTTTAATAGTGGGCACAAATTAATCCAATATGTGTATTGTGGGGAGCAACCGGGCTTACCGATCGAAAGCTTTGCAGCAATAAATTTACGTGGTTTTTTCCACAAACAAAAAGTATTATACGTGCAACTTTGGCAAATTTGTACAAATAACAAATTGCTGGTCAGTATGTCATGCTATGATGTCATGTCATGTCTGTATGTGTGACGGTACGAAACTAAGCATTGACATTGCTGTATAATTGAAGTTTAAGGCATTCTATGTACAGAAAACACACGCACACACCCTGTTTTATCTGACCCACGCACTATGTTACCGCCATGGCTTGCGTTGCTGCGTCTGCTTGTCACAGCGTCTGAGTACATAGTCATAGTGCGAACGTTTTGTGCGAGGCATTCCAACCGAGAAAATGGGAAACTAACCTGTCCTATTTTTTAGACGTCCTGGTGAATATTTTGCAGCAGTACTAGATCATTTTTGCTGAAAGCTGGGACGTAATTTTCTCGTACTTTTCCAGTGGCCAACAATAGAATAATACTTTGGATGAACACGAGTTATTTGTACATATATTAATGAATGTATTAATCTAATCATATTTTTTAGTCAAAACCAATTGTAGTACAGTAATAGCAGATTAGCAGGGAGTGCTATTATTGAAGATTTTTAGTCGTACCTGACTGGTACTCCAATGATTATTGTCGCGCACTTGAACAAAGACTCAATGTGTACTTAGTCTTTAAAGTGAAGTACATAAAGTGCAGGTTTTTCGAAAGATATTCAGTAACCTAAAACTACGAGTAAGAATGAGAAGGACAACTATATTGGGTCAGGCCATTAAACGGAAAGGCTTCAACTACCCCTTGGGTGCAGAGGCTGTCTGGTGTCAGGCGAGTTTTAGGGCATGGCGGGTGGACCATTGTGCCCGAGTGCAGGCTATAGTAACGAAGCAGGCAATGTTGCCAGTTTCTTATGAGGGGTTATCACTATCAAAAATAACTCTTGATCGTGTGGGAAGTTGATTGGGCCGTAAATCAAATTCAGTCGTAAAGTTTCATTGCCCGTAACGTACGTCTTTACATCGTAATTCAAAATGTTTCGTAATTAACGTGATACTTCGGCTCGTAATTAACGTGATACTTCGGCTCGTAATTAACGTGATACATCGGCTCGTAATTAACGTGATACTTCGTCACTTTGGTATATACTTTATGTGACCCCTTATTATACTGTATCATAATGCTCTAGATACTCTAGCCCTGAATAACTATCACTAGCCCTCCTTAGCCCTCCTTAGGCCTCCCTAGGGCTCCTTAGCCCTCCTTAGGCCTCCTTAAGGCTCCTTAGCCCTCCTTAGGCCTCCTTAGCCCTCCTTAGGCCTCCTTAGGCCTCCTTAGGGCTCCTTACCCCTCTTTAGGGCCTTACCCAAAGTATTAATATCAACCTCGCGTCAGGATAATTTAATTACGAGCCGAAGTATCACTTTATTTACGAGCCGAAGTATCACGTTAATTACGAGCCGAAGTATCACGTTAATTACGAGCCGAAGTATCACGTTAATTACGAGCCGAAGTATCACGTTATTTACGAGCCGAAGTATCACGTTATTTACGAGCCGAAGTATCACGTTATTTACGAGCCGAAGTATCACGTTATTTACGAGCCGAAGTATCACGTTAATTACGAGCCGAAGTATCACGATAATTACGACCCGAAGTATCACGTTAATTACGAAACATTTTGAATTACGATGTAAAGACGTACGTTACGGGCAATGAAACTTTACGACTGAATTTGATTTACGGTCCAATCAACTTCCCACACGATCAAGAGTTATTTTTGATAGTGATAACCCCTCATAGTTTCTTTCGTGTTGATATTCAATCGGTAGTTCAAAAGCTGGTTAGCTTAATCCTAGGTTAACTAAATTACCAACAACCCGTCCAAAAACATGAAGACAGTTTTCGACAATTCATGTCTGGATCAATAGAAGTTTTATTTTCCAAAGTTTTCAAATAAACAGACGTGCAGAAGTACACAAACCAAAACAGCGAGTTAAATTTTAACCCAGGGTTAGCGCTAATCCAGCTTTGAAAGACCACCTTCAGTGTTGTACTGGCCCACCGCTAACAAGCGAATCAAAACTTGAAATAGTTTATCGTTACTCTTTGCATTGAATTAGACTAAGTTTCCACTATATCCGATAGCTTGCGACAGATATATCGGATAGCGGCGTGAAAAAGCATCTATCCGATACGGAATGTACAACTTTCAGAAGCTGAGTAAAGCAACATCTCTCCGTTGCAATAATTCATCTGAAAATAGCCTTCCTAAAAGATACGGATACGTGTTTTTTTCACGTCGCTACGGAAAGTTATCCCGTACAGTGTAGTGTAAACGTAGTCAGCAAAGCAGGATCAGGGGTAAACGGTACATTATAACAAAAGACAATGCAATCTTTATCCATATATTTTATTTACAAACATTCACAATTCTGCGTCGTTTTCTAATCTTTAGGCTCTAAATTTTATACAATATCAAATACGGTTCACGACATAATAACGTCATTTCGTTGTCGCGCCACAAATAGGTAGGTTTCACTGAGCGGCACTGTCGTTGCAGCTGATGGCGGTACGTTATAGCCATTGAAATGAATAGAACTGGAACACTACCTTCAGATATACTGCCTATCTTTTTCTTGAAGCCAAATCTGACCTCTAGACACGCGTGTGTGGTGGTCAAGATACGCGTGTTTATGTCATGATTGAGTGCTCTTCGCATGCGTGAAAAGACTTGGAGTGGTCGTCAAGTTTGGCTTCAGATTTCCGGTTGGAGGTAGGGTTCCAGTTATATGCATGCTTATAGTTGATCGTGTCTACAGACGTAAAAATCTCGCAACTTGTCAACAAGATGAGTTCGCAACAGGCTTGTAGCAAGCTTGTCAACAAGTTGTAACAATTCTGTTATTTCATCAAGTTGCTACAAGGTTGTCACTCACAACTTGTTGACAAATTATTGAAATGCAGGACGATAACAAGTTGTTGGAACAACTTGTACCAAGTCTGTTGAGCTCAACAACCTTGTAGCAAGTTGTCAACAAGGCGTTGACAAGCTGGGAACAAGCAGTGCGAACACATCCTGTTTACAAGTCTGCTGCAGTTTGTTACAACTTGCGCGTTTTTACGTGTGTAGTATTGGGTTTAATTTTGAACATTTCTGATGCTGACGCCATCTGTTGTCCTGTATCGCTCACTGAAACGCAACAAGTTATTTTGCGGTTCTCTGTAGTTGCCTCGTGGAGGTCCGTGGTACAAAGTCATCGTTTCCAAGTCCTCTGTCGCGCGAGCCGCCCATCCGACGGACGCCCGAAGCGTTTCCGGTGGCAAGCGAAGCACGGGTGTGCACGCCGGACATACGTGATGGCTCTCCACGCGCATGCTCAGCAGCGCTTCCTTCGGGACCACGGTGAAGTCGCATGCTGACTCGTCGATCTCGTTCTCCTCTTGAGACTGGTCTTGATCCTCCTACATCGAGGAAAGAAAACACATTTAACACTAGTTATTTATACATGGTAGCTTGAGATATCAGTTCTAAACTGTTCTTCCTAGAGGTCCAGTAAGGATCATCTCTTATTGATCCAGTGTTACTACAGGAGGAAATCTAAACTAAACTAAGTTTATTTATACTGGATAGCTCTATCAGTTCTAAACTATTCTCCCTAGAGGTCCAGTAAGAGTCATCTCTTTTTGGTCCAATGTTGCTACAGGAGGAAACATAAACTAAACTAACTTTATTTATACTGGATAGCTCTATCAGTTCTTAACTGTTCTTCCTAGAGGTCCAGTAAGAGTCATCTCTTTTTGGTCCAGTGTTGCTACAGGAGGAAACATAAACTAAACTAACTTTATTTATACTGGATAGCTCTATCAGTTCTAAACTGTTCTTCCTAGAGGTCCAGTAAGAGTCATCTCTTTTTGGTCCAGTGTTACTACAGGAGGAAGCCTAAATTAAACTAACTTTATTTATACTGGATAGCTCTATCAGTTCTAAACTGTTCTTCCTAGAGGTCCAGTAAGAGTCATCTCTTTTTGGTCCAGTGTTGCTACAGGAGGAAACATAAACTAAACTAACTTTATTTATACTGGATAGCTCTATCAGTTCTAAACTGTTCTTCCTAGAAGTCCAATAAGAGTCATCTCTTTTTGGTCCAGTGTTGCTATAGGAAACTGAAACATTGCAAAACCTGCAGTGTTTGCGAATGCAAATCTAACATCTTACCAGCAGGCGAGGCGGCGATACCACTAGTCAGTCGTGCAGCGGAGTTGCCCATGGTGGCTCTGTTGGCAGAACCTCTACCATGGTGATGTCTTTCAGCGGGCAGTTCGCCTCGTTCTCGTGATCTCTCACCTGACAGATCTTCTCGACCATTCTAGAGAAACGAATGACTGACTTCAGTTTCGAGTGATTCTAAACACGCCTTCACGTTTTCATGTTTTATACAACAATTTGAAACTGGATTTACTTTTCGAATACCAGTGATGCAAGCAGCACAATTTAAAGGCTTCATTGAATCTTTGGCCAAACTTGTAAACATTGTTTCCTAGCCATGTTTCCTAAAGGTGGGCAAACCAGGAAACATTGTTTCCTAGCCATGTTTCCTGAAGGTTGGCAAACCAGGAAACATTGTTTCCTAGCCAGTTTCCCAAAGGTGGACAAACCAGGAAACATTGTTTCCTAGCCATGTTTCCCAAGGGTGGGCAAACCAGGACACATTGTTTCCTAGCCATGTTTCCCAAAGGTTGGCAAACCAGGACACATTGTTTCCTAGCCATGTTTCCCAAAGGTTGGCAAACCATGAAACAGTGTGTCCTAGCCATGTTTCTCAAAGGTGGGCAAATCGGGAAACATTGTTTCCCAGCCATGTTTCCCAAAGGTGGACAAACCAGGAAACATTGTTTCCTACCCATGTTTCCTGAAGGTTGGCAAACCAGGAAACATTGTTTCCTAACCATGTTTCCCGAAGGTGGACAAACCAGGAAACATTGTTTCCTAGCCATGTTTCCTGAAGGTTGGCAAACCAGGAAACATTGTTTCCTAGCCATGTTTCCCAAAGGTGGACAAACCAGGAAACATTGTTTCCTAGCCATGTTTCCCAAGGGTGGGCAAACCAGGACACATTGTTTCCTAGCCATGTTTCCCAAAGGTTGGCAAACCAGGACACATTGTTTCCTAGCCATGTTTCCCAAAGGTTGGCAAACCATGAAACAGTGTGTCCTAGCCATGTTTCTCAAAGGTGGGCAAATCGGGAAACATTGTTTCCCAGCCATGTTTCCCAAAGGTGGACAAACCAGGAAACATTGTTTCCTACCCATGTTTCCTGAAGGTTGGCAAACCAGGAAACATTGTTTCCTAACCATGTTTCCCGAAGGTGGACAAACCAGGAAACATTGTTTCCTAGCCATGTTTCCTGAAGGTTGGCAAACCAGGAAACATTGTTTCCTAGCCATGTTTCCCAAAGGTGGACAAACCAGGAAACATTGTTTCCTAGCCATGTTTCCCAAGGGTGGGCAAACCAGGACACATTGTTTCCTAGCCATGTTTCCCAAAGGTAGGCAAACCAGGAAACAGTGTGTCCTAGCCATGTTTCCCAAAGGTGGGCAAATCGGGAAACATTGTTTCCTAGCCATGTTTTGCACAACAAACTTTCCTAATCTGCCCAGTAATTTAGAAGTAAATTGGGAGACTTGAAGTATCAAGGGTAAATTATTGAACTTACAATCTTCAGTAGGTTCCAATCAAATATATAATCATATGCATATCCGTGGCGATGAAATAAGTTACGGAATAATTGTCTGAGATATGCATAGTCGGGTTTGTCGTCAAATCTCAAGGAACGACAGTAATTTACGTATGTTGCAAATTCCGCTAAAAAATAACAATTTATACAATTTAGCATGATGGTGGTGATATCTCAAATTTGGGGACCTAGCGTTAGGTAGCTTTCTACAATAAGCTATCATGGTTTGTGTCTGAAAAAGATATTCTACAATGAGCTATCACGGGTTGTGTCTGAAAACGATATCTCAAACATGGTGGTCCAGTGTAGGTAGTATTCCACAATAAGCTGCCATGGTTTGTGTTTGAACAACCTGAAAAAAATATCTCAACTCCAATAATTACACTTCAATTTGTTACTTTTCATTCTAATTATTTTTTGCCCAACAGAAATGTTCATACTTGGGAATCCTTTACATAAAACTTCAATCGGCGTTGACATTTTCTTCTCGCTGATTCGCTCATATTTTTGTTTCTTTGTTGCAGCTTTTAAACCTTGCCAAGGCAGACTGCCCAGATTGAAATACATTAAAACATATCCCAGCGATTCAAGATCATCTCTGCGACTTTGTTCTAAAAAGAAAAAAACATTAAAAGTGTCCATTTTTGCAGTTTGATAACAGAACACTAAGGTATTTTTGGATATTCGAGCCATATTATGCTGATGGTTTTTTTGCAGAAAATTTCTATACAATTTTAGACCTGATTGGCAGGGAGAATACGCAACTACATAGAATGCAACTATAGGCCCTCTGGTAGGAATCAAATGTGCAGCCCTGCAATTCCAGTGAAGCGCTCTAACCAACTGAGCTACAGTACAGATTCCAGTTGTCGAGTTCCACCATAAGTTCACATATAAATACAAAGGTGATGCCATGATAAGGTATTGTTATACTGTAGTTCAAAACAAAAAGCTTTATTACACTGTATTATTGAATGTATACCTATTCCTAAATGTGTATTAATACTGGCATATCTTGCTGTGCCAGTGAGATTCTTGTTTTCCCTGTATGGTATGTGCTGATGCGTCCGTGCATCTCGATATTTCTTGGCCAAACCAAAGTCGATGATATAGACGAGATTGCCTTTCTTGCTGAGGCCCATCAAAAAATTGTCCGGCTTGACATCACGATGAATGAAATTTTTGCTGTGGACATATTCGATTCGGCTTATCTGTGGATGAAAGCAGTTAGTCAATATACAAGGATAGAAAAACAGGTTAATTACTGAAATGCAACCAAAACTAGATCACCTAGATGTGGATAAAATGTCTTATATTGTACTCTAATATCAATTCAATACCAAGTGTTTGGTTCACTGTCATGCATGGAATAATGAGTCCACAGTTCATACCATCTCAATGTTTGATGTTTTAACATGTGTCAAAACGATAAACCAGCTAAAATTGTAGCATGTGCACCTTCTGGGCAAGGGCCAAGCCCTGTGTAAGCAGATTCTTAGTAGAAACTTGCTTGGATGGCCCCTCTTGTTTATGAAAGGAATATGTACTCGGAGAATAATACCAGTCACCACTAACCAGTTGATCTGCAAGAAGTAGTACAGTTTTGAGACTGAACTTTCTCTCGCAGAAATTAAACAGATCTTCGAGACTCGGACCAAGTAACTCCATGACGAGAACATTGTAATCGCCTTCTGTGCCACACCATTTTATTGTTGGGATGCCCACTACATGAAATTTAACACAATTACGGGCCATAATGTGCGGAACTGACTGGGCCATATGTGCGGAACTGACTGGGCCATATGTGCAGAACAGTCAGTAGATGCCACGTTCGCGTTTCGCTCTGACAATGGCTGACAGTTGTATCGGGTCGTTCCAGAAAAGATCCACACTTCCCCCACAGAGGAAATTTTTGCTGTCTAGGGGGAGGGGAGAAAAAATGTTTCTGATAATAGTAAGTGTATTAGGACATATAAAGAGGGTAGGGGTTACCTTCCAATTTCCCCCTGTGGGAGAGGTATGGACGTTTTCCGGGATGACTCATCGACTCGATTGTCTAGATAGACGGTCTTGTGTTTAAGCCGAGGTGGATAATCCGTCCGATTGATATCTGTCTTGACAGATGATCTGCTTTTGGCGTAAATCAGGCCAAATGCCAAACATTTTGTGAAATAACACACAGTGAAATAAGAAGGAAAGGCAACATGCATTAATGCATACAAAACAAATGTTCAATATATAATTACTGAACAAAAAAACAATAAAAAGAGTAAAAAGATATACCTAAGATTACAATCTAGACTTTTCCCAATACAAACACTATTTGCACATCTCACAAGGATAAATATTAACATGGAAAATCTCAATTTTCCATTATGTTTACATATTTGAAATATATAAAGCTTTTGTAATTTTAAAACGATTTGTCCCAAGCTGAGTTTGAATAGCTCTGCAGGAATCTTATGCTCTGTGAACATGAAAATCACATCTATTTTTATAAACTGGTCAGTATTCTTGATCTCCTTATAATATTTTCACACAGCCAAACAGCCGACCTTTTTAAAACTGTGAAATGTAAACATACTTTTGTTTGGAACTCTGGCCTTTTTTTTGCAAAAGAGGAAGAATTATAATAAATGAAATCGTTGCAAAATGCTGTACGAATTATGAAAGGGGATAGGTTCTTTAAAGTTCTATATAATAGAGGTCTTTCTACATTGGTTTACCGCTCAAAATAAGCGTTTAAATCGGTATGATCGACAACCTTTTTTATAATCAAGGAATAAATTATATTGGCAACACTGCTTGAAAATAACAAGCTAAAAACGAAACGATTGCATATAAATAAAAGCACGATATTTTAAGGTTTCTTCAAGGATTATTTTCTAACCTCCCCCTTGCATCATCTTGTAAAATTTCGCTTCGATGTGAAGTTGTGGATGCTTCGTTTTGACGCATTCTAGCTTTATCGCGACCTCCTCGGCTGTGGCGATACTTGTCCCTATATAAATTCAAAATTTCCCAGTTTGAAATAATTTTAATACACCTTAAACCTTTCCTTTGCTGTATTTAGATATAAATCTTTCATAGTTTACGCTGTGGGTTTTTCATGGGCAAAAAAACAGTATTTTTAAAAGGCTTCGTATTGTTTATACCACGAAAGTCACTTGACAACGCTATGTTGCAAAATCTATAAACAATGTTGAAAATATTCGCTTCTTACCAAGATAAATATCACCAAACGAACCACTACCAATCTTTCTTCCAAGACGGTATTTATTGCCAACTCTCAGCTCCATTGCGACAATACAAACGCCGAAAAAACGACAATAAAAAAAGACTATACACTCAGTTGCGTATTTTAATGGCCGCTACTCGACAGCATTTGATGCCATTATTGGTTGATTTTTTTGCGACTTGGTAACTTTAAACAATAAATATTGAAAATATTGCAGCCTTAGACAAAAGAACTCTCACATCAGTCTAGAAATACGCCTTCATTATGGCAAAATTCGTCCCGATGGACAAGGATTGTTGTCCAAATTCAACTTTGAAGCGAAAACTTTAGAAATTCATTTGTTTTGCATTTACCGGATAACATTGAAATTGACACTTAGCCGATATTGACCTAATATGGAAGTTTCCGGAAAACCGACGCATCACGAGGGCGCCATTGCCCAAGAGAAATATGACTATGGTGTTTTATAGAATGCGCAAAAAATCAAAATTTTAGCTTTATATTGCTTTGCGCACAATACAAAAAGCTGCTAAAATAGTACAGTGTAAACACATGGTCATTTTATAGCTAAAGCTTTCCACAAACGAGATATAAAACTTTCATTGCTTTTATTATAAACTAAATGCAGAGCTGTATTGTGTCAAAAATGAAACGTAAGGTGTTACCTCAGCTAAAGGTTTCTTTTACAACCGATTTTCAATGGCTATGCCCCTTACACAAGAGCCACATTTTTTCGAAGTGGAAACACACTGCAACTCTGTTGAAATTCAGAGAATTTTGCATCATAGAAAATATTAGAAATATTATTGAAAATTGGATATTAAAGATTCCATTGCTTTTGATACAAAATAAATATAACATTTTGTTACACTAAATAAACATAGCTTGCAACATTTTGCAACACAACTTCAAGAAGATCCACTACATTCTTCCTATCATGAAGTATATAGCTTGGTTTCTTCTCTTCCAAAAAAGTTTCAAAATGGCCTCCGCATGTTTGCCAGTGAATGCGTTTAAACGGCAAATAATCAACGCTGTAGAACAGAATAATGCCCTGATAATCGTAGCAGAAACAGGCAGTGGCAAATCTACACAGATACCACAATTTTTACACGAATCAGGGTTGACAAAACGTGGAAAAATAGCTGTAACTCAGCCCAGAAGAATAGGCGCCATTTCAGTTGCAAGCCGAGTCAGTGATGAAATGGGCTGCAACTTGGGAGGTATGCCGTGAAATTCATGCAGTGTATGCTCTTATTGTGCTTTTTGAACAAAGCCTTTTGCACACCATGCAAGTAATGCCACCAGGCCCGCGGCCCGCCCGCCTTGTGACCTTGTCTGTCATTTTTGGGTGGCAACCTGCACTGGCAAATGTTCAAAGCACAATGTTTATGAGTACTAATGTTTATAAATACTAGTTGCTTCACCAGACCAGTCCTTGACTTGTCATCTTTTTTTTTGCCTGGTTGCCCAAAAATGGCAGATAAGGCGTGGTCACAGAATAGAGACCTTACAGATGCCTGACTTGGCTAAAAAATTGTAACTGCTGCCATGCCATGATTCACATGCCATGATTGCCACAAACAATGTTATTTTTCCTCAACTTGATCTACTTTATAGACCAAAGATCATTAGTGCACTCTATGTAAAAATGCAAAGTCTGGCTTTCCGCTAATTAGATATGGACAGGCAGGGCCGTAGCGAAGGGGGGTATTGGGGGGGGGTTAAACCCCCCAACTTTTTTAGAATTACAATATTCGGAAAATCAGGTTGGTCATTCGGAAAATTACGGCAGTAATAGTATAACAAAATTTTAGTTGTTTAATTAAACAGAGAAAATATTATAAAATTGTATTGTCAGTATCATAAACTGATTTACAAAATCACGGCATTTACATGGATAACATTTAACAAATCGTAGATCGGTAAATGTTTTTCGGTTTATTACTTCCCAGGGCCGTAGCAACGGGTGGGGGGAGGGGGCAGTCCTCAATATATCTTTAAAATACTGACAATTGATTAATTTTAAGCGGCTACATTACCCATGACAAACCGCAAAGAATCGTATTACCCATATACGCCTTCGCCCATTTAGTTTTTCTAAATTGTAAGCAAATTAATTGTAAATTTCGACGTGCTAAAACTCTGTTTTCTGACCATCAGAATTCTGTCAAAACTTCCCCCAAAGTCCACGAAATGGCATTTCAGAGACTCTAAATTTAAAAATTTCCTCGGGCCTTCGGCCCTCGCCTCCCCCTTAGCAAAAAGATCTTCCTACAGAACTGCACGCTTCTGTAATATGTCTGTGCGTAAAATATGAGTATTTTTGTTTGTAAATTGCGTTTTCATTTTCCGGATAGCAAACACCTTCGTGGCTTCGTATGCCATGAAATATTCGGAAATTTATTTCGTCATTCGGAAATTTTTGGCCTACACCCCCCCTGTTTTGCATTACAGAATTTTTTTAAAATTGGTCAGATAGTGCATTGCACTATAAGAAAATGTTTTCTGAAATAAAAAATGGGGGTAACCGACCTTTTTTTAAAGTAAAATGCGTTCAAAGCCAAAATATCGGCCATCTTGAATCGTCATTGTTGCCATAGCAACAGTGGTGACGTCACTTTTCTGACCAATTTTCGACTGTTTGATTGTCGCTGTATATATAATATACAAATTTCGATTTGTAAAGAGCATCATCTCTTCAAAAAGGTGATCTAGTTTACGCATTTTCAACATTTCTATAAACTGTAGCGAGCCACCTTAAGGTAATTCCGCAGTAATTGTTCCCGAAATGAGAATGTGCTGAAACTTCCCAGGCATGGAGTTTATGATATACTTAAAGTAAAATCACACAAAAAAGTTGGGGTCACCGAACTCGTTAAGAAGATACGACAGTCACAATATACCACCTTTACCCCCAATATGGCGCCATCTTGACGCTCATTACGAGTAACAGCAAAATCACAACAGCCCGATATTTATTGACGTTTTAGCGCTGATTTTGCATTAGTAAACCTATCTTGTAATCATTCTTGAAAAAATATTGTGTTTTGAGCAAAATGAAACAACTAACGTGTACAATTCTGATTCACAAATGTCTTTTCCACATTTCTTTACATATCTTTCTTTGAGAACATGCATTGATAAAGGATTTTTTTTCAAGATCCAGAAATGATTTTTCTTTTAATTTCGGATATGAAATGTAAAATACATTAAAGAAATAAATTATCAGTTAAAAAACGGGGGTCTCCGATCTTTTTAGGGAATTGTGGCATTAAAACGTGAAATACAAGTAAATAAATATACTACAGACACAGGAAAATCCTAGGTACACTTTTGCATGCCTTTTTTGAAAACATTGATTTTAACGTAATTCTTTGCACGAATGTAAACAAAGATGTTTTGAAGTAACATAAAATTGTCATATAATGATATTTTTTGAAACGGTACGTATAATGAATGAAATTATAAGTTATAAGATGTGTGCAGTAAAAGTGCGCAATGCAAAACTGCGGAATTACCTTAAGGATGAATTAAATTGAAGAAATTTAAAGCAAACTTCCCGCCTTCCGTACACTTCATACCGTCCGAGAGTCTTGTAGATGGAAACTATCGCGAAACGATGGAAAGCCCGAAAGAACCGAAAATTTAAATTACAGCTAGAAAAATGTAAAATAAAAAAATATGAAGTTTGACTATTTGCGGGTGATTTTAAGACAATTGGGGGGGGGGGAGGGGGTGTGCGAGCAACCCAGAGGACTTTAGTTACTTTAATTTTAGTGACGTAGCTAGAGGGGCAATAATTTTGCACCCTTCTGGGAAAATTATGGTTCCCTCTGGGAAAATAAGTTAGACTACATGGCTAAAACGCCAACCCGAGGACTTTATTACGACATCATTGCAAACAAGTATAATCGAAGGAACTAGATTCTGTTCCGAAATATCGCATACTCGAACCGACCTGACCGCGTAGCTCAGTTGGCAGAGCATTGGCCTAGTATTCCAAAGGTCGTAGGTTTGATTCCCACCGTGGACAGGCATATTCTTCAAGCCTGCCCGCTGTGGATATACACTCAGAGTAACATCACAAGCATCAACTCTGCTTTCTTTTTTATTTAAACATTTTAATATAATAAAAAAACTGATTAATCAATAAAGAAACACTGAAATTATATGCTGTCTTTTTCATTTAAAATATACTCAACGATTAGCTTTTAAAGCCATTATAAAGCGAACAGTTTTAGGAATTCTTTCGCAGGTTTATTTTCTTAATTAAAAAGCTATTGAAATTCACAAAATCTTGCAAAAATAAACTGTATTTGCAAGAAATCATCAAATCAAAACATGTTTGCTATTTCGCTGTCGTCATGCAGCCGTTATAATTTAAATTTGACCAATCAGTGTTCGCTATTCATGACAGTCCGCCATATTTTTGAGATCAGTGAGGATGACCACCCACCGAAACATACATGGTGAGGCACGCCCGCGATTATTGATGAACTTTGGACTTCGCTAATGCGTTTTCCCGGGTGTAAATAGCCGGGAGGAATTAGTACCCTCACCCCAGGCTTACGCCCGGAACGGCGCTCCGCGCAGTTGTTTGGGGACCAGTTCCATAGGCTAACAGTCTGATAATTAAATGTTCGTTGCCCAGTCTTTCTTTTAAATAAAGGAATGTTAATATTACGAGAATTTCTTGCTTGGTGCACAACCAGTCGTACATTTGACTGTCATGATGGCCCGACGATAATATAATAAGTCTCTCACTGGCAGCCAACTTGTGCAACGATATGAAATAAGTAGAAAACAGCGGCAACTTTTCGTCAGCATGGCGTAATGGTATTAATGCATTACAAGTGTTGAAAGAGTAACAGGTCTCAATCGAGTAGGATCAACAAATTTTGTGACGCTAAGCGCGAAATGTTGGGTTGCCAAACGTGACCATTGTGGTCACTCTTACTGTATTTGGTGAAGTTGTCAATGTGGTTGGGTGCACTGTCCCTGACACACCACGCGAGACATCGAAGGCGGCCATGTTGAATTCAAAATAAGTGACGTCTTCCTTAAAGAATGACGTATTTTTCTGAGTCGCTGAATGATAACAGTTACAAGACGATAGCATTATCAGATGCAAAAGTCATCGACATGGAAGATATTCAAGATAGGTAACGGGACAGAATTAAAGCAAGATTTATAACTTTTCAATATTACGCATGTTACGTTACAAAAAAGCTATGCTATAAAGTCAATTCTAAGAAAAGGAAGTTGTTACAACAGCTATTAAATTTACATCTGAATATTTATTATTCAAAGGAAGTTTACAGTGCACAGCGTGTAAAATATACTATTTAACTTCTAGCTCAGCGAAAGAGTTATGCTGTGCTGACCAAGTGATATATGGCTGTCACACTGTTGGTAACAAAGTTAACAAGGTAAGACAATATGTCAAAATACACATATATATTTTTGTATGTTTAGAACAAACTTATAAATTTAATACAGACACAACAACTACTGGCTATAGATTGTTATAGTCATATAGAGTTTTTGTCTGCGTCATAGGTTGTCAGATTCTCGCCTGCCTAGTCTTAAGGCATACAACATTGTAGTTTTCTTAATACATCTATTTACGCTCAATCGAAAGCAAATTCGACTGTGTCATACTAGCTTTTATAACTAGATTAACTATACGTTTGTAATTTTACACAGACGGTGTCAAGACCTTCAACATCAGCATTTGAATACGCTGTGAGTGATGTACCGTTGCCTTAAATGATGTCATGTTTGATATTTGCAATTGAATCAGAAATCGTGGTAAGTATATAACTCTTTATATTACTGAGCAAATACGAAAGTTAGTGTCGCATTTATGTCTCGCCATAAACAGTTAATTGTAGCGCTTTGACATTGTATCTCGTATTGCTCGAAATTTCATGTAGTGTGACAAAGGTCAAAGTCAGAGAATTGATATTCGCAACTACCTAATTAAAAGTACTGATACATAAAGTGTACCATCGCCAGTTCCACTTATTTATAGGCTTAACCTTTTGAGTCGTCAAAATAACTTTGAATTGATGCCCATGTTAACGTTTGTCGCGGCTTCAGTTTAATCATATAAGTACATTATTCATAGTTCCCACTTAGATCTCAAATTACATTGTAAACATCGAAGACAAAGAATCGCCCAACCATATCATGTATGTACTTGGAAATCGGAACGCAAAATATATGTTTGAAGTTTATTTAAAAAAAAACACATTTAATAGTCGATAATACCAGACTAGCCACAGCGGCTCAAACATACGGTAATTCTCCCTAATGTGGTACTCTGCTCGCAGCCCAAAATTTCGTTCAAAGGAAAACTCTCGCAACCGTTTAATGTTCTGTTTTTTATATGGACTTATTCAGAGTGAAAAAATAGCCTACACACAAAGTCAAAGACGACATGTAAATAAGCACGCGAAAAACGCGCATAAAAGCGATATTTTTTAAACATAAGACTAGAATAAATTTTACTTATTTCAAGATGTCTTTTAAATGTTTTCGTTTTATTTCCAATATTAATTTCGTTTTATATGCGAACCAAAGTCCATTTGTATTTTCAAAACAACAACAATGAAAATGGCGGGAAATTTTCGAACTTTGTATGTGACTCGCATGGGTGAAATACGGAAAATACGTGCACTTTGTCCCGGATGTAGTGATGTATGAGGTCTACGAGTGTTTTAGTTTCCAGTAAAACACCATTGTCCATATAATGAATATATAATTGTAAGGAAGTCAACAAAACATATGTAATAGCAGTTGCTCGCGCCTTCCCACGTCATTGCGCGTGTTCTGTAGCGTTTTATGTCAATTGCTGACGTCATTAGAATTTTTCATTTTAGAAAAATAATGCGCTATATCTCTCTATTTTGTTTGGTGACCTATGTTCAAATTCTGCATGCTGTATTGCACCGCTAAAAACTTTCATTATACAAAAAATAAGAAAATTCTGTTCAAAAAACATTTTACCGAAGAGAGCAACATTTTCGCATTTTCCAAAAAAGGCATTACAGAATTTTTTAGTAAAATAATGCACGAAAAAAAAATGGTGGTCACCATGCTTCTTTTCCAACTATACGAGACGATAGGCCATTTTGAAGTGATATTCGTACAAGTATGTCGTCGTAGGAACGAACTATCTGTTAATACTGATATAATTTGAAAATGTAATATCAAAATATGTAAAATACCCAATATATCTGCTGAATAAATCCTAAAAATGCGTTAGTTGAAATATGTATCGAGCCACCTTAAGTTTTTAAAAAATATGCTATGTATATACCGTATATGTATGTCGGGCAAAACTAATAAAAAATTAATAAAAAAATAAAAATTGTGATGACAGCCAAACATTTTTGTGTCATTAGTCAGCACAGCGAGCACGACTTCTTGTTGCGGTTCATGAAGAGTTGAGTGTTTTTGTATATTCCTTTTGTATATTCCTTTGAGTTGAGTTGAGTGTTTTTGTATATTCCTTTGAAAAGATGAGCTAAACAAGTGTTTTGGGCAAGACTTGGTAAAAAATACTTAAATAACATGGCAGTATGTATGTACATATATACATGTGTGTCCACACATAACTACACTCTGTAGCTCAGTAGCTGCAGGTTCCCCTTATTGTATTCCAGCTGAATACAACTACCCGCATGCTTTTCGGACGTGTTATTGCATAATGAAGAAAATACCTGCAAAGTATCATCATGGTAGTTGTATTCAGAATACGTAGTAAGGGGAACCGGCTATTGGGTGTAGTGCGCTGAACCCTAACCCTGTCCCTGGCAGGAATCAAACGTGCGGCTCTGCGATTCCGATGGTATGTAAAAACCTCAACAAAATGGTTATTAAACGTCATTACAATGCATTTTCGATCGGTTATAATGTCTGAATCCTTCTTAATTTCATTGACTGAAGTCGCTTTAGCTGGCTTATTTCACAATTTCCACGTTTTTTTCAAATTTCCTTTGTTAATCTCAAAGTTATGTGAAAAATATCTGTTTTTGCTTGCTTTTATTTCATATTGACCGAATTTTATCCTCGATACTCATTTTTCTTCATCAAAATTAACTAAAAAGACTAAGAACATCCAGTTCATATATATGGTGACGAAGGCATGCTCGTTGCCAATTCTCTTCCTCAAAATCGGTCAGCACACCTACTGCCGTTATACTGCCCACCATATATAGTCATACGTTCAAGCAAGACAAGATGTAAATGAAATCAGCTAACATGCTGCAGATAATGCACAGGCAACTGAGAAAATGTTTTACTTCCTTTGATAGTGGCTTACATCATTTAATATACTGTTGAACCCCTTTTTATTTTTGCGTTTTATTTCAGGTATATATTTATCAGATATATCTCCGAAAAAATTATCCCCTTGAAAATTATCTCCTACGGTGATTTTAATAAGTGCGATAATTTGGAAAAATTATTCCGCTTCCAGTTCCGGGTTCCGGTACCGCTTTTAGTTATAGCCTGTGTAGTAGCCATGTGCCATGGGGGTCACAGCAACATACGAGCGATACATAATTAGTTGAGTGAGGTGATCATGAACAACAAGCCATGCATGCAAGATTTTGACCCTCTCAAAATATGTTGGTGTACTGTACAATAGGTGCCATAGACAATCGAGGGGAATGGACTAGAAACGCGTTGTTTTGCTTTCTGGATACAGTCTGTATACAGTTTGCAGTCACAACCATATTGTATTATGAATTTTAATTTTTGAAACGTAAAACGACAGAGCAATAAACTAATAATTGTTTTGTAGCTTTATTACTACGTACCCGTGTCTTGTTTTCGAATCGTGTACAAGAAACAACATTTACATTTAAATTATTGAATTAATAATTGTGAGACTTGTTTGACAAAAATAAAGTCAAAGATATTAACCTGCCATCGGACTTGCTAATTCATTGCTGTACAAATTTTCGTTTCAAAAAATTAGTAACGGGCAAAAAATAGTTTTCCAGTATATTTTTCTCGATTGTATACGCCTATACGTAAATTTCTACAGTTCCTTACTTCAGCATTTTTCTTAACATTTGTTTCTCTTATACACATCTATATACAGATCACATCATAATTATAATGGCTTTACCTGGATCTGGTCATCTCATCCATATTTCAGGTAAGGATAATAAAAAGAAACCCAACGTCTACATCAACTCGATTATACTTCCAGCTGTGTGTGCACTGCTTAATAGTGATGGAGGGACAATTGAAATCACTGAAATAGAATTGGATGTCAGATCAATTGAACAGGTTATCAAAAACATGATTGGCGGTATAGCATTCTTCACATCTATCAAAATCAAACTAGCTGATCATAAAATATCAGTAAATGTGAAAAAGGGCGCTCAGTTCACCACAGTTAATTACAATCTGTTCCTGCCTACAGAGAAACAAATAATTTCGATAGAGACAACGGATAGTATGAAGGAAATCCGACGTGTACTACTACATCGGGGTATTGTTGAAGACCCTGTGATTCAAGGTTCGCACTTGCATAACTTTGTTCTGAATAAGGCGTCCGGATTAGCTGAAAGCGAAGTCGTTCAGTTAAAGAGCCTAGAGACTAAGCCATCAAATAAAGCAAAAACAAATACTTTTGCAAAACGAATGTTGAGTGATAAGAACAAGTTTTGCAACTATATATCTGGATTTGCAAATCACCGAGGTGGACATATCTATTACGGAATTGATGATGAAGGTGTTGTGACTGGCGAAAAACTAATGGAAAAGGACAAACAGGAGGTTATTGTAGAAGTAGGTAAAGCAATGGAAAAACTTATTTGGACGGAGAGTAGAATATCTCCAAAGCAAGGCGTCGATTGGGAAATCTACTTCGAAAATGTTAAGGATCCAGAAGGGGAAGAAATTTATGTTGTTGTAGTTTTTGTAGCTCTATATCGTGGAGGAGTGTTTACTGGTGAACCAGAAAGTTATTACATAAAAAAAGAAAAGGTAAATTTTATAATGATGCATGGCATATACGTACAGAGTAACTGTAATTTACTGGATATTCCTCTATATTATCCCTGAAGCTATAATTAACTGTCTTCTTTGTGTTACTTGTCAGAGTTTTTTCTTGGTATTCTCTTAGAATTTTTCAAGTTTTGTTCAGTAAGCTCACATCTACTGAAGATAGTGAAGATAAATCAACTACTGAAGATTGATATAATTTTCATCTACTGAAGATAGTGAAGCCAAAGATAGCGGAAATTGATGTCCAGTGCCATTCTGCCAATCCATTTCTATTGTTCGTGTCTGCGCAGATAACACAAGAATGCAATGAGTGTGCCAGATGTCTTATTTTGACTTCGATATAAAAAACTAATATGATTTTATCAACTTATAACTTAACTAGCGAGAGTTAGAAAACACTGAAGTTAGCTGGGAAAAATGGGTTGAAAATTGTTTACGACCATCATAGATTTTGAATGCCAATTCCGCCATCTTGGCTTTATTTTTCTCATGGGCCGAATACAGTATGTTTTTGCTCCGGATACACAGTATCAAGAGCTCACTGGCATTGTTCGCAAATTAGGTCACATAACTGAAATATTTGCATGTGCTAAAAAGTGAACGCGCGTTATTTACTACCAGGGTCGGACTGGATGGGGGAAACTGTGCCCTTGGTATTTAAAACGCCCTTCGCCGTTCAGGTTGACGCTGTTTTCGAGACCAGAGCATCCATATATTATTTTTTTATTTCAATACGCATAGGTGGAGAAAATGGATTATAATTCATGGTGGAAATCATTTATGTCTGGAGAATTTTCAAGATATTATTTTATTAAGCCATGCAACATGGATTCTGTCACATGGAGTTCAGAAGTGAACAAAACGTTTTTTATTAAGCTAAGTGAAAAGCTAGTTGACCATAGAGACGCTGGAGATTCTGATTCATTTGATAAATTGTGCGAATTGGCGGTGACAAATTTTAAAGAAAGTAATGCTGAGCTTGTGGTGAAGGCTGGACGCGTCACGATTGCCTACAAAAGTGGCAACGCTGAACTTGCTAAAACATTATTACAGGAGTTTGAGGACTTGTTATCGTCTTCAAAAGACCAATCAATTTTTGAAGTTCGCCTTCGTCTTTCTCAATGCCTTGTTGCCAGAAGCGTGGAAAACTATAAAGAAAGTTACGAAAAAAGTAAAGAAGGTTTACAGATGGGACAGAATATTCCCCCTGGTCTTTGTCTGCTGTGGTTGTATCTCGAATGTGCCATGAACGCTGCATGTCTGGCCTTTCAAAATCAAAGCGAAGTTAAAAGGTTTAGCGAAATGAAAAAGGAAGCATTGGTGTACCTTGAAGAAGCTGCTAGAGTTGCAAATACTCTCATTGACGACGAAATCCCATATAGAATAACTGATTTCCAACACAAACTTTGTATTTATAAAGTCTGGGTATTAATAAATTACTCTATCACGGGTGAAGCAGCTGAAATCGCGCCTAGCAGGGAAGATTTGACCGCTGCCAGTGTAGAGCTATCCACTGTTTTTAAGAACCAACTAAACGGGAACTCTTTAACTAAATTTCGAGAAATCGAGTACTATTTGGCAAAAAGCGATTACCTTACAAGGTTGTCAGAAATTATGGAAGATAAAATGGAGAAAAAGAAAAGATTACAGGACGCCATACATGAAGTATTGAAGGCTATAGAGAAGGCCGAAAAAAAATTTAAAAAGTTGTTTGAATATGCTATAAGACGAAATAAAACTTTAGAGGAAAGAATAAAACTTTGTATGGATACCAAATGTAATCAAAGTTCACCCCGAACCTTTGAAGGTTTAAAGTATTGATCTTGCAACGTCTGACTGAGAAGAAAACTTCAAAGGACTATTTATAAACATTTTTCAAATAATAATAAACTAATAGACGATGAATAAACCACTTGTACAAAAACTTTTAATATGATTACATAAGGACATTTTTTAATGAATATTTATTTTCAGGAAGCTTTCTCACAAAGTGATTGAAGACATGCATATATTACATTAACTATGAAAAATATTAAAAATTATACGAGGAAAAGTTCAAAGATTGCTAAAAAAGTTTCTCTTAAATGTAGAAATACTATTAGAGAGTTTTATCAAGAAGTCCAAGTTGTTCCAATTTGTTATGGTCTGATAAGCGAGTCATTGCTTTCCCCTATTCTTTGACACTTTAGGTGGCCTTAATTAATTGTCCTTATATCGCGTATTGTAGTTGTGTATATTTCTCTGTTCGCTAGAAGTTCAAATCCACGTGAGGTATGATTATTTAGACACTTAAAAACAAATTATTATGCATCTATGATACAATCTATGTTGTTCAAGAGTGATCCAGCCTAAAGTGTATAACGCGTCTGCTGCCGATGAAAAAAGTGGTCTATCTAAAACAATCTTGGCTTTGTTCTGGGCGTATCTGAAGATTGTTTATTAGCGCTGTATTATTTTTGTCTCCCCATATAACATCTGCATGGTCAAAGATTGGGAGTACGAGACTGTTACAAAAAAGGATTCGTGCATTAAAGAGTAGCAGGTGTTTTAATAATCCTACGAAGTAGACCTAGGCGTTGATTGACTTTAGCGGAAATACAATCTATCCATATGTTCTGACCAGGTGAAGTTGAGTGCATGTGATGGTGACTCCTAAGTACTTGACATTGCTGGCGTTGGAGACTGCAGTATTGTTGACAGAGACAGCAGTCATCGAAGATATATTACACAACTTCCTATCACTGCCCATAACATTGATCGAGTTTTATTTAAATTCAGTGTCAGCTTATTCTCATTTAACCAAGTTCCTAACTTAAGGAGGCTCCCTACAGCTTCCAATATATATATATATATATATATATATATATATATATATATATATATATATATATATATATATATATATATATATATATATATATATATATATATGCCATCGCTTCCTCTTATATAAAAAGTAATTTTACCCCACAATCGCTACTCTTCATGTTACCATGACAACATGACGTCACCATTTATTTGGCCTGCCTATATCAACCAAAAAAGCCGTCTTAGCGGACAAATAACCACAGTGACTTACCTTTTTTATTGCAGAAAATAGATTGTTATGAAGTTTTGAATCTTTTTTGAAAGTTATTTGAAAATCGCCAGTTCAGTTTCTCGAAAACTACGAGTGAACGGTTCTCTCTAAGATCTTACTTAGAGTAGGCAAGACCGAGATAGGACGATAGTTTGTAGGATTGGAACGTTCACCTAATTTAAATAGGGCCGTGACCAAATCTTTGGGAAATGGTGGCTCTTGATGGAAAGTTTAAGTAATCTTGTTACAGCCTTGCTGATCGAACAAGACGCACATATAATTTAATAGTCTTGCGCTTATTTCGTCCAAGCCCAGTCTAGTCCCAGGCTCCCTCTCTCTATTCGCTGCTTTGGTATATTTAAATAAGTCTTAAAAGTTTTATGCCTGGGTGTCCTGTGCGGAACGCTTCAGCGAGAGAGCCTAGCAGATTTCGGTAAAATGGTCCCTGATTTCAAAAAAGTGGTCCCTGGCCTGGTTACCAAGCATACCGCGTTTGTAAAAAGAAAATGATATGGAAATTTCTTTTGCGTTTATAATTAAGTCATTAGTTTTGCTCTAATGCTGTCGGAACAATGAAGTAGGCTACGTTTCGCTACCATACGGTCAGAATGGAATAACGGGGCTAAATATGACTCGTGTTTACTAAAATATAAGCCATATTAAATGCTATCTAGAAGCTTGAAAATTATGCCGAGTCTCCGACTAAAAATGTTTTGACAACACAGTCATGTCAGACAAATATTTCCAATCTAAATTATGCCGAGTCTCCGACTAAAAATGTTTTGACAACACAGTCATGTCAGACAAATATTTCAGCTACTTATATTAAACCTGTCAAGTAGAAAGCGTAGTTTTGTATAGCAGTATGGTCCAGTGTTGATCACAACTTGCGAGTATATAAATAACATCAACGAATATACGACCATTGCTCAGACTCAGTATCGTAAATTTGGATATAATTTTTTTTAGTTGAGCACATTTTTAATACAGTATGAATTTGGTTATGTAGACATCGAACATGATCAACGAACATGGTCGTATTTACGTATAAGGTTATCTGTATATACAAAATTTCCGCCATATTAAAAATACTGAAATCTGCTAGGCGTTCTGAAGCACCTTTAGCGGTGACGTCACACCTAGGTCCCAGTCTCGTACTACATGCACGTTTTTTTCTCGCGCTTGCTTCAGAACGACTGGGACTAGGCTGGTCCAAGCCGATAGTTTTGTTGGTCTTTAAAGTCTGGAGTTGTGCAAGAGCATACAGTAGGATTCTTGTACTTCCCCGAGCTCAAACATTGTTTTCGGGACTGCATGAGTGGGACTTGCCGTAAATGTTTATGAGACATTCAAAAACTTTATAACATGACTGAAAACTCAGTCTGACAGATGAACAGAAAAAGAGTGACGACCGGACCACCAGACTATGTATCACTTGAATGTCAATTTGTTTTTAGATTAATTTTGATTAATCACGTACAAATGCATTGGGAGAATAGATAAGTAACGGTATAGTTTAGTACACTCTTAAAGAATCACCATCAACCGTCATGCTTCGCGGGCTATGTGAATGTTTACATAAACCGGGCGCTAAATAGTGTTACCTTCGAAAATAGTCATACACTAAAAATGATATGCATTAGCTTTATTACGAGAAGTTACTATCGCAAGGAAAATGCTGCCTCAGCCCCAAGGGATTAAAGGCAGCATGCACAATTTGCTGAATAAGGGGCTGTTTATATGATCCCGCTTTGCCAGGAGATATGAGGCAGGATGATTTTGATGTGCTTAAATAAGTCACGATGCATGATTCAGCAAAAAATTTCACTATTTTCTAGAGATGGATTACAGTATGGTTAGTAACTGTAAACAAAAGGTTGCCTGTTAAAACATAATATAACCTTCTTGAACCACAAGATCTTCTCTACATTTGAACTACTTCTCTAAATTTGAGCGTTTGAACTTTCATTTAGCCTTCCATGACATGCAAACAGCCCTTAAGACGCCTGTTCAGGAGGTAGGAAAAGTGCAATTTGAATATCAAACATCTTGCACAAAGTCGAAGGGCGGCTGAAAGTTCCAATTCCACTTTCTTGGCATGGGCGGTTTTATATGAATATCTTCAATGCTTATAACGTCTTGCTGTTGTATAATTATAATACTGTCAGTGGTGAAGCTAGCCATATCAACACTAGGTCATGCTATGCAAGTTTTTAATGATTTGCATTATTCAAATAGATGCAGGTTTATCAGTATAGCATGCATACAGTATGGCCAGTTGCCATGGCTAGCTTGCCACTGAATACTGTACAATGTTTAAATGTACAGGTTTGAATATTTTGCAGTAATAAATTTACGTGGTGTTTCCCGACAAACAAAACTATTATATATTTTATCGCCATGCCAACATACAAAGTCAAAGAACTTATTATGTACAATGTTTATATAAAAATACTAAGGGCCTGTTTACATGGAGGCGAGTTACCCGGCAAGGCGAGTTACTCGGCAATGGCGAGTTCCCGGCTGTTATAGAAACTAATAGTAATCCCGGGTGACTGTTTACATGATGCAGCCGAGTAACTCGCCTTGGCGAGTTCCCGGCAGGAAGAGGCGGGATCTCGCCTAGGCCAGATGAATACTTTCCATGTAAACACTTTGCCCGGGTAACTCGGCCACCCGAGATAGAATGTAATATGTGCTTTGCCATTGCAATATAATAGCTCAAAAATACAAACGAATCGATAAATAAGTTTTCCTGAATTGCTCGGCGCTTATTCTTGCACTTTCACTATATTTTGTAATGTTTTTAGCATTTCAAACGACTTAAATCCTTTTCTGTTTTGGCGCCATTTCGGCGTCATGCGGCAATCATGCGACAAATGCCGAGTAACTCGGTTCCATATAAACAGAGCACTTGTTTGTCCCGCCTGGGCGAGTAAGGGGCTGTTTATATGGAAGCGAGCCAGCCCGGGTACCCGAGCTGGCTCGCATCCCCGAGATGAATTTCACCACGCGTTTACATGAAACTTACATGAAGGGCTGGCTCTTCTTGTTCTAATTTTTTTGGGCGTAAACAACTCCATAGTGGAAGTTGGTTCCTTATATGGGAGTTGTTTGTGCATTCTGAATTATTCTAATTATTTGCGCATCCGTATTTGCTAAATTTCCAGCCCTACTAGGAGGGCTAGCCCTCCCTGTTGCGTTTATATGGAAAACTACCCAGCCCGTTTACCCGAGGTCTCGGGTCACACGAAGCGGGACCTCGGTTAGGCGGGCCAGCTCGGTTCTCATATAAACGCAGCATGAAATTTAGTAGGAAATATTAACAAAGACGGGATCCCGCCTAAAGCCAGCTAGCTCGGCTACCCGAGCTGGCTCGCCTCATATAAACAACTCCTAACTCGCCTTGCCGGGTAACTCGCCTCCATGTAAACAGGCCCTAAGTCGGGGTTTGTTCCAATTATTGTTTTAATGCCACCTTCAAGGCTGCCCATATATATCACAGAACAACAGAAAAATATCAATATGCTGATGGGGAGACAATATCTATTTGTTGACATTTCTAATTGTGAGCATTATCGAAAAATATAATACACTGTGAAATGTAGTGACACAGCCAGATGAATATATTATATATATGAATGTAGGCTGGTAGGATTATTTCATATTATGCTAACAATAAGCACACAGTCATCAAAAATCAGTTGACATACTATTACATGTAATCATATTGCTGGTATAAAGTTAATATGTGCAGAGAACAATCCACACTGGGTTGCTCTAGGGATCTTATCACAGTAAGCCTGATTTAACAACATTCCGCGTTTGTTGTTAAACTACTAGTCTAAACATCTAGAAATATAAACATCTAGAAATGAACACTATACTCATCGTCTTGGCACATAACAAACAAATATTAAAACTGAGTACATTGTGACTCGTAAATAAGGCATTATTGACGAATAGATCTGGTGGGCTATTAGACACTGCCAGTAAATTCATTAAATACTTCAGAGCTCTTAAGTACATCTTGTCTCCTTGTATTTATAAGACATTATCAAATGTTCTAAACGACCATGCGGACAATGGGAATATTTCGGGCTGTATTAAGAAGCGCCGTAAACTCATGACATAAAAGCACATTGCTTGCCTCCAGAATGAACGCTAAACAATTCATGGCCTTGATGGATATTAGCACAAAGAAATAAATGTTCGTATATTTTGACTATTTTGCATCAAGTGAAATCCAGAATAAGTTTGCATATACTACAGGGTGTATAAAAAAAAACTGAACAGATTTAAAATTGCTCTCAATTTCGCAAAACACCTATTTGTATCCGGTTTTTTATATATATAGCTTCTTTGGGTACTTATAATGTAAAATAATGAAAAAAATTTCTCGAACTCAAATTTTGTGAACCAGGGGGGGGGGGGTCTTTTCCAACAAACTAAAAATGGCTCGCGCACAAATTTAAAAAGCTGTAATCATATTTTGAGTTAATAGATTGAAAATTTGTCGGGTTTTTAATTACTGTACAAAAGTTCAGACAATTTGCTTTAGTTTAAGCCCCTTTAACTATTCATTTTGTTCTAAAAAGTCAGCCTTTCGCATGCTTAATTAATGCCTTTACCTAATTTGCATATTGCTGACATATGCAAATTAGGCAAATGCATTAATTAGGCATGCAAATAGCTGATTTTTCGGGAAAATTGTAACTTTGCGTGAATAGTTAAGGGGCTTAAACTGAACCAAATTGTCTGAAATTTTGTACAGTAATTAAAAACCCGACAAATTTTCCATCTGTTAACTCAAAATATGATTACAACTTTTAAATTTTGTGCGCGAGCCATTTTTAGTTTGTTGGAAAAGACACTCCCCCCTGGTTCACAAAATTTGAGTTCGAGAAATTTTTCTCATTATTCTACATTATAAGTACCCAAAGAGGCTATATATATAAAAAACCGGATACAAATAGCTGTTTTGCGAAATTGAGAGCAATTTTAAATCTGTTCAGTTTTTTTTGATACACCCTGTATAAATAGGAAAATACGGTGAAGACGTAAGTACCGCACAGAAATTGATCCAGTTAAATTATCGATAAAATTACAAAATTCTATAAGTATAAAAAAGCCATTAATAAAGATTATATTTATACTAACCTGTAAAGGTGCATTAAGCGATGGCTTGAACGAAATTAATTCTCTAACAACATCAACATAACCAGACTGTGAGGCAATAAACAATGAAGTGGCAGTTTCCTTCGAATAAAAGTAAAGAAGAACGGATGAAAACCTTGGTAAGAATACATATAAAAAATTTATAAAAGACCAAATCATAAAACATGCATGCGGTGCCACACCATTCAGCATGAGCTCCACCTTTGAATTTACTATATGAGTAAATTGTTAAACACGACCGAAATTATCAATACAATAAATTCGCGACACATGTCGAGCCGTAACCCCTAACCTAAACCTAACATAATCTTAATCTAACCCTAATCTAATCTGTATCTGAAACTAATCTAAACTTGATGACCTTTTTTATTTTTTTGATAATCTCCCCACCCCTGCTCGATCTTGTCTAATGATTGTGGTTTCATTTGTATTTGAATTTAATTATATTTATACACGGTAACCTATCAATTGACATCAGGGGCGAAACATGAGGGGAGTATGACCCCCCCCCCAAAAAAAAAATACGAATCATCTGGATTGGCAGGGCAATCAAATATTTTAAAGTTATTTTAGAGTTATTAAGTAACTTGCAGGGCTTTCGGAGGGAATTGAATAGAATTTATAGACCTAAATTTTACAGATATTGGTCCAAAAATAAGAGCTTCACCCACGTTTTAACAGGAATTTGTACGGAAAAATTATTTTGACCCTTAATTTAACTGGTTTATGTCCGGAAAAATTTTCCAACCCTTTTTTTAATATCCAGGTCTTCGCCCCCATATAACTAAAACTTCTCTTCATAGAGTTCGTGTTTGGTTTTGACAGTCTTAGAAATTTGCCATTACTTCTTAAATTACAATTAAAATTGTTGCACTTTTCAAAAAGGCTAGCTATTATCTCCGGACCGTTATCATTCATAACATTACTCATACATTTTCCATGAGATTTTGTCGCCTTTCATCCAGCGTTTTCCAGCCTAACTTAAGTAATATTTGTTTTGATCGGACGTCATAATTATCACCTGTAATGACCCTTGCCGCCCTGTTTTGAAGTTTTTAGTGTAATTTTAATTTCAATGTTTCTGAACAATTACTCCAAACAAGGGAGCAGTAGTCAAAATGAGGTAGAATAAGTGCATTATAAATCATTTCTTAAAGTATCTCGAGAAACAAAAGACTTACAAAATCGTAGCATTCATATACCCTTCGACGTTTTCTTACAGATACTATGTATATTCTCCTTCCAATTTAGCTTGTCATCTATAATGATTCCCAGACTTTTTGTTTTATAAACGCGTTTTATATTATTATTTCCAATTGTCATAATTGGATCCCTTTGAACTTTAGTAAGGTTGTGCTTGGATCCTATTATCATGAATTCAGTTTTAGTTGTATTTAGTGTGGGCCAAGATTTGATCCTTGAGGTATCCCACATCGAAAGTTCCTGATTGATCACTGACTTTGATTAATTTTACAAAATTGTTTCCTATCTTTCAAGTAGGATTCTAACCATGATAGAGATTGTTTTTGAAAGCCATAAAGTTTTAATTTCTCAATAAGAATATCATGATTTACAGTATCAAACGCCTTTTTTAAATCAAGAAATAATACGCCATTTATTAGGCCTTTGTCAATGTTACATAACCGTTCATTTGTAACACTTATCAGTGCTGTCGATGTGGAAAAACCTTTCCTAAATCCTGATTGATATTTCGTAAATAATTCAGACACAGCTGAGAGAACAGATATCGGTCTATAGTTGCCAAGTTCAGGCTTTAATCCTGCCTTAAAGATTGGAGAAACTCTAGCGAGTGCCCATTTGTTAGGAAATTTTTCCATTTTAAGTGACTGATTAAAAATATTCGCCAGTGTTGATGCAATTATACACAACTAGAGTCTTTGATTAATTTTGGAGATCTATTGCCTGGTCCAAAATCTTTTTGGCTTTTAAATTTTTTAATTCAGCTAGAACTTCATCCTCAGTAATTTCTACAAAGTCAAATGTATATTCGTTGTGTTTTATGTAGTCGGCATATTTTATATTTGTAGAGGGAATTTCTCCTGATAGTTTTTCTCCGATTTCAGAGAAATATTCATTAAATAAATTGTCTCACAATTTCTTTTTCTTCATTGTCCAAGTTTTTAATAAGATTTTCAATTAACTTTAAGACTTCATGATTTGAGTTTGGCGGACGATAACAACTCACAATTAGAATTGGCTTGCTCTTAGGTTTCCGAACTTCAACACATAATAACGCTTCTAGAGAGTCAAGCACAAGTTCATTTCGGTTTTTAGTATTTATATTATCTCTAAAGTAAATAGCTACTCCACCGCCCATTCTATTTCTGTCCTTACGTATAACGTCGTATCCATTTAATTAAGGTGGCTCGATACAGTTTTCAAAAATTCAGGTGTTCAACACTTTGACATGTTCAGACTACGTATTTCTAGAATTTATTCACCAGATATTGGGGTTTATATATATTTTGATATCTCTACTTTCAAATTATATTAGTTTTAGTAACATATATTTCATTGCTATGACGACATACGTGTACGAAACTTACTCCAAAATGACCTATCGTCTCGTATAGTTGGAAAAGAAGCATGGTGACCCCCAATTTTTTCCGTGCATTATTTTAAGTACTTGGAAGAAAAGCTAACAATTTGCAAAATATAAAAAAATCTGTAATGCCATTTTTTTGGAAAACGCAAAAATGTCGTATTCTTCGGTAAATGATGTTTTTGGCATTACAGAATTTTTTTATGTTTTGTATAATGAAAGTTTTTAGCGGTGCAATACAGCATGCAAAATTTGAACATAGGTCACCAGAGAAAATAGAGAGATATAGCGCATTGTTTTACTAAATGGAAAATTCTAATGACGTCAGCAATTGACATAAAACGCTACAGAACACGCGCAATAGCCCTATTCACATTAGAGACGGACAAGTCATCTAGACGAACAAATCGTCTCTCAAAAATCGTCTTCACAGACGGACAAGTAGTCGAACAAATTCAGACGACTTGTTCGTCTAAAATTTTGTCCGACACATTTTCACATCTGATGATTTGTTCAACTAAAAGACGATTTTGAGACGATTTGTTCGTCTAGACGACTTGTCCGTCTTCTAATGTGAAAACGGCTAATGACGTGAGATGGCGCGAGCAACTGCTCACGTCAGGTCATTTTGGAAGTTATAATTCTTTCATTTTGTTAATCAGTTTCCGCGACTTGCGCGTAAAAATGGTCACCCGGTTTTGTTCGCGATTCTTGAACGGGATTCTTGTGATAACTATATCGAGCTAACTTAAGTGTATTAAACCATCGTTAATTGTGTCATCTAGTCTTTACTATATGAGTAAATTGTTAAACACGTCCGAATTAAATTATCAATACAATAAATTCGCGACACATGTTAGCCCTAACCCCTAACCCTAACCGTGACATAATGAGGAGTTACGAATTTATTGTATTGATAATTTCGGACGCGTTTAACAATTTACTCCGCATATAGTAAATTCAAAGGTGGAGCTCATGTTGCACCATTATATAATAATAGAAATATACATGCATGCAACAACCCCTCCTCGCCTAACGTTTGGACGTGACGAAGAAAACTTCGCTCTTCACAACTCAAAAAATGTGACACTACAAAACATTGTGTGACAGTCCCAAAACTTATTTTGTACTAACCCCCAAGTAATTGTTATTTATCCAGAGCTTTTAGTCCTTGTTTTATTTGTTCTAAAGCACGAATAAATTGACGTTTTTCAAGTGGTATTATTCTCGGCATTGCATCTTCTTGTTGGCATTGTATGAGCGCTTCATGAGTACTTGAAAAGAAATTTTCAAATGCAGATAACATTTTTATACATGAATTGTATTATAATACAGTATCTCCCAACTCTTTCAAGAATGCCTCATAACTCAGAAAAACCAATTATTTTCGCGCGGTTTTTTGACAAATTTTGTGTTGGTCCTGTATAAATGTTTCATTGTTTTAATCAGTATAGTTGAACGATTTTTGTTCATTGTAAGTACTTAAATGAAACTTTAACTGTCTTAGTACGCTCTAAAATGAAAAACTTGGGAAAGGGTAAAAATCAATTGAAAGGGTAAAATTTATCGACATAAAAAGTGTATTTTTCAACAATTTTTTGTAAAAAGGGACTGGCACTACCTACAAAGCACGCCAACTTCAATTTCCCCCTGACTTATTCCAGTTTACCTATAAAATTATAGTTCAATGTCCATGAACCATAGCCATGCGCCCGCAATTATTGATGAACGTTAGACTTCGATCGCTAATGTTTTCCTTTTCCCGGGTTTAAATAGCCAAGCGGAATTAGTACCCTCGCCCCGGGCTTACACGCCCAGAACGGCGTTTTGTTCCGTTGCCTCGGGATAAAGTATATTCCATACCTAATCATACCATACCATACTTAACCATACCATACCTAATCATATCCTAACCTAACCACACCTAACCATGCCCTACCATACCTAACCATACCATCAAACAATACCATAAGATACTTAATCATACCATGCCATACTATAGTATACCATACAATACCGTACAAGACCGCATAGTAAACCATATAACCATGTACGGTACTATATCATATACCATAATAAACATACCATATTACACCATATCATACCTTGACAATATCGTACAAGCCATATACCAATCCATAATATAGCCTCGCATAGCATGCCATATATCGTACTGTAGATTTGTCATTTTGTATATACTGTATAATTCAGTCTGAAATAAAATAATCGGCAACATTTGTGTTAAATTAATAGTACATACCTTCATATTATTGCTGTAATCAACACTTGCTCCATTTCTCAGTAGTTCCTGTACAACAGACAAATGTCCAGCTTGTGCCGCAAAGAACAAAGCAGTTTTACCAGTCTAAAATAACAATATTTTAGTTTACTACGAGGAAGCACGAAGTCAGGCTATATTTCATATAGTATAGTATGTTTAATTTAAGTGGATTTTTTTGTATGTTACGTAAAGGCCGATTTTCGTTACGTCTGCTTTGCCTGCGCGGGACATGGGTGTGACTACAGTTCAACATATTTAATAATTTGATACATTTCTCAATCGGCAAACGAAGTTAGAAGGTTTAGAAGATATATAATTATATGCCTCTTGCTTTATCTACAAAATAATGTTAACGAAGTGAAAAATATGCCTGCAGTTCAGAAAGGTTTGCTTACGCTATAAATATGGCGCCAATTTTAAAGCATCATTGATTAGTAAGTAAGTAATCTAAGCTGAATTGAGAAGGCGCAGCTCAAAACCTGATTGAGTCGAAGGCTTTCTCACTGTAAAGGAATCTCTGGCAGCCAGAGTATGAATCATGTCTGATCACGCAGGACAGCTACGGTACATGGTAGGGTCAGTTAGGGGCTAAACCCAACTCACCCTCGGGGCAGGAAAAATAATTTTGTGCTAAATCTACACAGTGTTCTAGCTGACCATGGTTTTAAATTCAAGGAATGTCTGTCAACCATATGTTGTTGCGCCCATAGTGGACATGGGTGTTAAGGTTTCACTTTAAATTTTCAATAGCAAATCTTCATTCAAACGAATTTCCTGCAGCTGTTTAACATGCATTTCCTGCGGGAGCAGTGCTCGCGTGCTCGCCTATTTTTTCCACCCCTGCAGTCACCCTTTCAACAGCAGGAAACCGGAGTACCTGGAGAAAATCCACAACTTTCAATAGAGCGTCGACTGACTTTTTTCACATGAATATCTTCAGGGGTGCTTTGCCTGCAGATTGGGCTTCCAAAGTTGAACAAATTTTAATTTATAATTTGTTACTATTTTTATGTTTCTAAATTACCAGATGCAGACGTTATTAACTGTAAATGTGTATACATTAAACAATAAGGTCAAATTTTCGAGAGGTATGCCAAAACAATTTTTGGTCTTGAACATCGTTTTGTCATCGCATATATACGCGACATAAAAAATTGCCTCTGAATAATTACTATAGATGGTTTCAATAAGCCATGTATCTGGCAGCAGTTGATGGTATGGGCAACCAACAGTTAACAGACCGAGAAAGTATAAATTATTAAATAACATGGGCCTTCAATCACTAACTTATTCACTTATAAAGGTGAGATGACTAGCTATAATCTTCGAAACATTTCAAGTATACTCTTTGTTTATCGCTATCGGACTAATAATTTAAATATCGGACTAATAATCGCTATCGGACTAATAATATAATTTATCGCTATCGGACTAATAATTTAAAAAAAAGTTTTATGTATACAATGGATCATTCCTTTGGAATTCTATTCTTAAGGAAATTAAAGAGAGCAAATCCCTTTCTTCCTTTCGGACGAACATCGCTGCTCAGATTGATAGTTAAAGCAAATATATGCATGTGTACATGCATTTATTACCTCAAATACTACATCTTATATCTTAATATATTATTTTTATACTGTATCTTACATTTTGTAAATAGCTTTTAAATACTTTTCATATTTGCTGTATACTTCTTCTTCACACGCCCCTCGTGGAAATCAGCTTTATAGTTAACGAGGTTATTAGCGTGTTTAAATAAAATTATCTATCTATCATCTTTCCATTTAATTAATACTATAAATAATAATAGAACTGATATTATATTTACAGTACTGGCAAATACGTAATAAAGAGAGAATTACACAGGTAGTTTAATTTTCTTGCTCCCTTAATTAAGTGTCAATAACGTTTCTGACCAGCATCTCCGATGCCGAGTAATATCAGGATTTTTTTTGGCATCTCACGCGATAGAACGGACTGATTCCAGAAGGGTTTTGTGGTGTACCGGCATTTTATACATTTGTTAAACCTACAGGGAGCGGTTGCGAAAAATGGAACTATAGGCCCTCTCATGCATGGTACAGGAGTCGCACCTGCATGCATGCGTCCCTGCAATTCAGGTGCAACGCACTAAGGCCACATAAAAAATTACTTGTTTAGCGTCCTCGACCTACAATTTTAAAAATTTTTTCCTTCCAAAATCCGTCCGAGTTCAGTGCAAAAACGTCTATAAAAAAAGACCGTTTTACTTGTAAAAAATGGTGATTTTATTCTTCCGGGAGCTATGTAATACGTTTACATGAAGTATTTCCTTCCTAGACTAGAAGTTACTATCGCAAGGAAAGTGCTGCCTCATCCCTAATGGATCAAAGTCAGCACGTGCAATTTGCTGAATAAGGGGCTGTTTAATATATGATCCTGCTTTGCCAGGACGAGATACAGGGTGATTTCGATGTATTGAAATAAGTCATGGTCTACAACATTTCAGTTCTGTTAACGAGCATTTGAACTTTCATTTAGCCTAGTGACTTATTTCAATTAATACAGGGATGGATTTACTGGGGGGGGGGGTGCACTCCCCCCCCTAGCCATGGCCAGGGGGGAGTGCTATTTTTCATGATAAAGCAAAAAATTATTAGAGACAAAATGAGATTCAGTAATTTGAGTAATAACATGATGATAAGCGAACTGTGAACAACAATTACAATTCAAATACTGTAGTCAAGCAAGACTTTGCAGTAGTGGAACAAGTTGATAGACGGGTAAAATCACTGGAAACCAATTGCAACGTACGGAAATTTTTTTTGCCTAAAAAGTTGTCGACGGGGGGGGGGGGATCCATCCCTGAATTAATACTCAAAATCATCCCACCTTCCATCATCTAAACAGCCCCTAAGACCTGTTCATGGCGTAGGAAAAATGCATTTTAAATACCAAACACCTTGCACAATGTTGAAGGTCAGCTAAATATTCTATTTCTACTTTGTTGGCATGGGTGATTTTATATGAATACCTTCAATGCTAATAACTTCTTGCTTTTGTATGTATAATTATAATACTGTCAGTGGTGAAGCTAGCCATAGCAACAGGTCATGCTATGCAAGTTTAATTATTTGCATTGCAGGTTTATTGACATAGCATGACCAGTTGTCATGGCTAGCTTGCCACTGAATGCTGTACAGTATCATATATATAAAAAATAATAATACTTGAATGAACCATTGGACATGTAGAATTAAATAACAATTTCACATATAGAAATAAGTCAATTTTTGTCCCAGTTATCATTTTTATGGCACCTTCAAGGCTATGTTCACATAACTGAATAATCTGCTGATGGGGAGAAAATATTTATTTGTTGACATTCTTGTTTGATACGTATGTATTCGTCTGCTTCAGATGACACCATTCATTTGTAATGACTAAGATTGTACTCAGTCAGAACTGCAAAGCTATATAATAGGAAAGAATTTGTGACCATTATCGAAAAATATAGTGCACCCTGAAATGTACTGACACAGGCACACAACAAGGGTGAATATATGAATGTAGGCCGGTAAGATTATTTCATATTTATGTAAACATATCTCAGAGATATATTTTTACAGACCGCCATACCTTGTACAAAAATGACATGTTATATTAGTAGAGGGTCTGAATGGGGGGTTGTGCATGTCAGTTGTCAGTTAAAATTTAGCTTGTTTGTCAGCTATCAGTTAATATTTTGGCGTGTCAGTTAAACACAGTTAATAATTAACTTGCCAAATTCTGTTTGGGTAATTAGTCGTTTTTCTGACTTTCACGAATTTTATGTGTTTTATGGCGATTAATTCGATCTTTTATTCGGATTTCTAATTTGCCCCTGATCAAAGAGTCACCGAAGTATGGAAAAAAGTCCAATCAAACTTCAATTGTCAGTTAACAGTAAAGTTTTACTTGTCAGTAAACAGTTAAAAAAATCGTTATTTGTCAGTTAACAGTTATTTTTAAGGCCGTTTGTCAGTTGTCAGTTAACCCCATTCAGACCCTCTTAGTACATGTAGGCTATTAAACTGCAGTTATCAAGTTAATATATGCAGACAACAATCGCCAATCCACACTGTCGTCTGTCGCTGGGTTATTAACTGCATGGGTTCAATATGGCAGCCTTGGCAGGTTGCTATGGGAAATATCTTTACATTATAAAGTATAAACAACATTCAGCGTTTGTTTTTAAAACGTTCTGAAAGCAAATTGCTATGTCTATGAACATCTAGAATGAACACTAAACTCATCGCCTTGGCACATCGCCACACAAACAAATATAAAACCAAAAGTACATCATTTTGATTCCTAAATCTATTAAAAAGACGATCTATTGTTTCAAATACCTCATATCGAACGCTAAACATCAGATCTAAATATAAATGCCTTCATGTAATATCACCAGAAAGAAATAAAGCTATCCTTACCTGAATTATTCAAAATATTGTCGATTTGTGAAAATCCAACATATATCATGCGAGCGCAATACAAAATAAATTTTGACCGCCCCCCTCGTTTAAAAAAACTTCCTGAAGCCTTAATTATTTCCCCGGAATTACGACATCTTTACAAACAGACAGACACAAATTCTCAAATCGAAATCTCGATCGACTATACATAACTCGGCCAAAGAGACTGGACACAAGTAAACGCAGACACGCAATACTTCATGTTAAGAATAGTGTGCTGCCTTCGGCAGCAAATATGCCTGTTCGCAGGTAAGTGCTGTGTTCAGCAAGTGTTCGCTGTTTTCAATAAAACATGAAGGGATTTTGAAAGAATTAAAGTGAGTTTTACCGGACTGTAGTAGTATGCTGGGTTTCCTGCATTTAGCTTTTCAAATACCCTGTAGCAGAATTTTGTGTTGCATTCTTCAAAAAGAAAACCCCAGAAAAACCGGCCCGCCCGACCTAGAAAAATTGAAATGGGTGGACGCTAAACAAGTAATTTTTTATGTGGCCTAACCAACTGAGCTACAAAATCAAGTTGCCGAGCTCTAACCGCACGTTCATGTAATAAAACTATAAAATATACTAAGGTGATGCCTGCAGTGTATATAA